GTTTCGTTGTGTGGTCCGATCTTGTTAATCCCTCAGTTATCCGGGAGTGGTCCATCGTGACAAAGGTTTCAAAAGTCTTCTGACGTGTTTAAAATTTGAATCCTATTATTAAAAAATTATATTGCGCTATTTTCTGATCTTTATCATAATGCTGTTTCCTCATCACAAACATACCTGGAGTTGTTTTTTGTTTTATTCACACATGTTTAACACACAAACCCTCCATATTTAGGCTGCGTTCTTCTCTCAAACAGAAAACACTCTGTTTCACCTTGTGATGTCATGTGACAATACAGGAGGTGCTCCACTTTGTTTCTACTAAACAAAAAGTAAAAGGTAGCAGTTAACAAAAATTGAAAACTACCACTTCACGACATCACAAGGTGGAAGAGGGCATTTTGATCTTTAGAGATCTAGACAGATCAAAAATACAGGGTTACTCAAACACGTGTAAATGAAACAAAACACAACTTGGGGTATGTTGTTGAGGAGATAACACCATTCTAACATGGTTTAAAGAAGTCGATTTTGTGCAATATAGGACCTCACAATTATTATATTCTTTCCAAATCAGCCATTGTTTATAAAAGCTATAAACAATGGCTAACTGATTTGGAAAGAATATAATAATTGTGAGGTACTACTGTATATTGCACAAAATTGACTGCTTTAAAACATGTAAAAATGGTTAGAATAGAATAGAATATTTATTAGTTTTTAGTTTTAAGTAAAAAGTCTGTAGTCTCTGCACTTGTATTGATTGATATTGCAGTACTGGTAAGTGTCTGACAACAGTATTGGTGCAGATGAAGTTAGTAGGCTACATCACTTAGGTCATAGGTAGAGCCAAGATATACTTAATATTTCCCTCTAGAGAAATTTGTCCATGAATTTGATCTGTCTATCAACTCTTATGAGGCAGCCTGAAAGAAGCAGGGGTGACAGCAGTGCTCCTCAAATCTCAACATGCAACCACAACATGTTCACTTCATGGGCACAAGAACAAATTCATTGAGTTGTTTGGAAGGGCATCTGGTCTAAACATGATCCAATGATTCTAGCTTTTGAAGACCACAGCTAGTAAAAATCCTGTTCACAATTAGGGCTGCTAACAATTGCATTCACCACAATCATAAAACACTAAGTCATTTTAGATGAATATTGCCGTTTCAAATGTGCAAATTATAGCTGTGTAATGACCCATGAGCGCCGCAGATTATAACTATATAGCAGACACAAGATCAACACAATCATCTTTAATCGATGTAAGTTTCAAAACTGGTGATTAGAAACAATTTGCTGACAATGATCCATGTCAGGGACTGTCTTATCACTATGATACTCTGTTTTCCCATTACCTTGCTTTCAGTAAAAACTATCAGACAAATTGAAGCAGACATTACAGGAAAGACCACTGTGAGAGTCCACTGCTTAAGTAAATCAGGACAAAGCCTTGCGGTTTCTTCTTGATGCTAATGCCATGAGATCTTTTTTCTTATGGGAAAGATCCATCTCTCCCTCGGCCCTAACCCCACTTTTAAACTCTGGGAATGTTCTGAAATAGCATTTTGATCCACAGAGGCACCTCGCCAAGCTGCAGCCACACTAGTTGTCTTTATGTGTGTTTTTTGGACTAATATCACTGCCACATGTGCGAACAGGTATCATTAGTCATTTGATACGAGCTGTCAAAACGCACAAAGCCGGATTTAGTGATAACAAGGAAGCTCAGGAACATTACCATATATGTGTGCGTCCAGCTATTGTCCGTGAACTGAGAATGAATGAATATTTGAGGTGATAAGAAGTATAAACAGCTGTCGACATTTTTGTCAAAAGCTGAATCAGTCATACTTGTTGTGGATTTGGCTGTGCTGAGTTCTAGATTAAGAGATAAGTCGGATGTGGTTTTGACTATTAAAAGTGTCTATTTAAGGATAACTGTGTGGAAATTCAATTATAACAAAACTTAATGGGATTTTGCTTGAGGCGGTGAGGTAGTAGCTTGTCCGAGATGTGCCAAAGGAAAGAGGTTACGTCTGTTGCCAGGGAATGCTCAAGTGGGTTAATATTTAAGGAGAAATTAGCACTGTTTGGGTTTGTCATTTCGGTGTGTTTTATGGACTGTGCTGGGAGTGCATTAAAAAATAACATAGATTAAAGCGTAATTACTGTTGTGGTTGTTTTAAATGTGCACTATGTAATTTTAGGTTCGGGGTCCGTCACATGTTTGTTACTATGGCGAATGCCTTTACCCTTCCTGAAATGTTCCAGAGTATGACATTAAACAGCTCTACTTTATAGTTATTCAGTTACACAGATCTGACCAGGGTCTGGTTTGGTCTCCATAGGATTAATACCATACTGTGAAACATTCCAAAGCAATAACATCTCCATGGAGAACATATTAACATATAATCCTCCACCAGAAAAGTTACACATTGCACCTTTAATGTCTCATGGCACACTTTGAGTTTCTTGTGCATGTTTTCCAATGTGGTTTTAACTACAAATGGTGCATAAACTAAACTAACCTTACCCAAACATTTAAATTCCAGTGTCAAGATTTTATTGTCACCAAATATGAACACAAATGAATCCCCCAAAACATCCCAAAAATGTACACTTCCAGTCATCCACTAATGATGTGTAAAGGCAGATGGTGTCAAATGGGTCTGCTGTGCAAGACTTAGGGCTGGGTAATATGGCAAACAAGTTTTTGCCCCATAATCAATTCCCATTTTAAATTTTATTTCATTTTGTATAATTTCAGTATCAACTTTGTGAATATAAATGTTTATACTTCAAACCAATGCTGATATTCATTCACAAAAATAGTCACATTTCTTCCTCCAAATATGTGAGAATCTATTCTTGTTTTGCACTGAGGTCTGTTTTGTCTATCGCCTGTCAGGTCCAAAGAAGCTTTGAGGCTCCAGTCCTCATGACCCCGAGAAGTAAAGTTATACTATAGATGCTACACTATAGTTCTACAGATCCAGTGCCTCTGGGTTTGTGTGCTGTGAGTCATTTTGCACATACACATGAGTAAAACGCTTCTGAGAGGATGGCTGCATTAGGAATTCTATTGACTCCACATGTATACTCTGCCCTGCACTCTTCAATCTCCTCTTTCTCTTCTCTTTCCTGCTTTTCTGTTTCTCTTTCCTCTCACTCCATCTCCTCTCCTCCCCAACTGTCTCTTCTCTCTCCCCTTATCCCCTCTGCTCCTTCACTTTCTTTTCTGTCTCTCTTCTCCCCTCCTCCTTCTCTCATCTCTCTCCCCTTCTTCCCTCTGCTCCCTCACTCTCTTTTCTACGTCTCTCCTCCTCCTCCATCTTTCCTCTCTCTCCACTGTGCTCCCTCACTCTTTTCTGTCTCTCTCCTCCCCTCCTCCTCTCGTCTCTCTAATCCTCTCCCCTCTGCTCCCTCACTCTCTTCTCTGTCTCTCTCCTCCCCTCCTCCTTCTCTCCTCTCTCTCCCCTCTGCTCCCTCACTCTCTTTTCTGTCTCTATTCTCCCCTCCTCCCTTTCACTTCTCTCTCCCCTCTGCTCCCTCATTCTCTTTTAGTTCTCTCTCCTCCCCTCCTCCCTCTCTCGTCTCTCTCCCCTTCTCCCCTCTGCTCCCTCACTTTCTTTTCTGCCTCTCCTCCCTCTCTCGTCTCTCTCCCCTTCTCTACTGTGCTCCCTCATTCTTTTCTCTCTCCTTCCCTTCCTCCCTCTCCTCCTTCTCTCCTCTCCTCCCATCTTGAGACGTAGGACATTGATGGACAGACACAGGGTCATGTTTGCACAGTAAACACACTCCCTGAACAGAAAACACTTATAGGACAGTTGTGTTTATTGTCCAATGTCAGCTTTTGACCCGGGACATGTCTGCACACACTTCCCCCTATGTGTGGGAGAAGGAAGTGTATATATTTATATTTGTTATATAGTTGATATGACTTATTTTTTTAACTTCGCTGGCCATTATTTAAGCTACCTTATGTCATTGTATAGCTTCATTCTTGGCTTTTCCAGTGTCTAGGTTCATGTTTACATGCACAACAGAAATCCGATCATTATCTGATTTCTGGAGTTATCACATTATTAAAATGTCATGTAAACAGTTCCATCAATATGAGTCTTTTGGGTTTATTGCAAACTGATATAAATCGAGTACAAACAACTTTGACAACTCATACAATGAATTACTATTAAAAAATCAATATTACTTCAGCATGTTTTACTTCACTTCCTTTTATAGATTTGGTCAACTGAGTAAGAATTGCAGTTTGTTATTTTTAATTGCTGATGGGGTGTAACGATGTCCAAGTCTCATGATACGATATCGTCACGGTGTGAACCTCACGATACGATATTTACTGCAATATCCTGGGAAAGCTCACGATATGGTGAGGAGGCTCACGATTAGGGATGTAACAATATCCAAATCTCTCTATATATCTGTGCGATATTTTCATGATATACATCTCACAGTATGATATTTATTGCAATATTTTCTGGAGACTAACAGAACTGTTAATATGCTATTTTTTCCTCTTAAAATGCCTTGACAAGACTTAATCCAAAGAACTAAGACTTAAAAGTGCTTAGAACTGTTATTTCTTCATGTAGTCTGCACTGAAATGGAGCAAAGGATCATGGCCTATGTTTTTTTTAGCTATTGCTGCACCATAACTTTTAATTTAATCAAAGAGACTTGTAATTTGATATATTGTGATGGTCCACGATATTATTGTGAGAACTTTGACGATACGATATCACGATATTTTGATTATTGTTTCATCCCTAATTGCTGAGAAGACTTGACCAGCTTTGCCTATTCTATTTTTGTCCTGGTGTTTTAATTTGACTATTCACTTTTATGCAGCTAAAAGATAAAAGATATTATAAAATTATGGGATTTGGCAGGCCAGGTCATTCATAAGCATGCTTTAGATATAAAACATGAATGTATAGTAGTATTTTTGACCTATAGTCTTTCTCTCATTTCAGACTGTCCTTCTTACCGAACCGGAGCTACAGTGACAATGGCCGAACAATACTGGCCAATGAACAAGAATCGCAGGACTCTCTAGGGACACTATGAGGACAACTTTTGGAATACAAAACACCACATGGACTGAAGTACTACTGTGTACTACTACTAATACTACTACTACGTGTGGATCAGACAGACTCCTATTGAACGCCGGGAAGCACTCTGACCAAAACCGCTGAGACCATTTCGTATTATGTTTTCACAGTTTATAGGATTTTTGTATTTGTGATTCATAGCTGTCAACAGTAGTAGTGTGAAATTGTGGATTTTTATAATACTTTTTGAAACTGAGACATTGTTGAAGACATGTATCATCCTTCATTGATTCATTTGTTTGACAGATTTGGGCAGAATTTCATGTAATTTCAAGATTGTCAAAAATTATAGCACATTTAGTTGTGTCCTCCTTAAAGGCATTTTATTGAAATTTTAAGTTAAGGGTCCAAAACTGCTCTTCCCCATCGAGATGTTTTTGTTTTGTCTGTAATGGTCCACAAAATGACAAGAGAAAATCTCTCCAAAAAGTCCCATCATACCATACAGTGGGACATTTCAGACAAGCAAGTGACACACACTCTAACGATTACATGGTTACAAGTTACATGGTCAGGCATGGTATGTTTTTATTTATACAGGGACAGTGTTCAATACACATTGGCCAATAGGAAAGATGCAGCTCATTTACACCTGTAGTCCCTTGACAGGTTGATGTAACAATGTACAGAATATAAAAGTAGATGGATACATCATATCACCATACATCATCACATTTAAGTTACTAACATACATACGGCACCTTAGATACTCAAATTTGCATGTTCCATATTGACTCATTGTCATCTACACTCAGCATTGGGATCCAGGACTTTTTACTGGTGAGTTGAAAACTGGTTTTGCAGCTGATATGAAATTATTCTTAATTTATGGGAATATATTTAACTATTGGTAGCATATAACCAATGCAACTTTTTTGTTATCTGTGACTATATAGCCCTCTTCACTCACGCAGCCTGTTCCAGAAATGTGCCTGTATTTTGCCATTTCCTGCAAATTTGTAATATATTATTTCTTAAGTTATAAATTGTCTGTCCATTTCCAACATTTATATTGTAAGTTTATATTCCACATCAAATATGTGACATGTCATATGATGTTTGTGAAAATTATTACATCTATGTCTAAGTTCGAATAATGCATTTGGTTTATCACTGTCTGTCTCCAAACAGCTCTTATGGCTCTACATGTGCAGCTTTCAACTCCATTGCTTTTCTTTGCAGCACCCATGGGTTGTTTTATGGCACTTTACTCCTGAGGAGATAGTTCAGTGCATTTCTGTCATTATTTATTGTATGGATATTCACCTATCTTTATTCAAATGAATATGGATAGACTGAACGATTAAAAGAGTAGGCTATGTGTTCTGTCTTTGAAAATGTGTTATTTATTTGACATCAACACAAGAAGGTAATCTGAGTGATTTGTGTGGTTTTTGAAATGTGTCCAGTGTGACAGAGATGGTATATACAACTATTTGAAATAAAATGTAAACCGTAGCAAGGGATAATGAAGTCTGAGTATGAAACTTCATTTTGATGCATATTTTGCAGGAATAGCCTGTTTATGTAATGGACCTATCTCAGTTTTATTTGCCAGACTATTGTGTACAGAATTGGCAATAAGCTATTGCTAAGCTAATATAATATAGTAAATGTGTTTTCAGTTGATCAAACTAGCTGTAACATAGCGCAAATAGTGCAAGTGCTTCTTCACCGAGTATTTAAAAGGGCAATAGGGCTTTTCAATTCAGCAAAAGCAAAGCTGCAGTCATTACATTTTGAAGCCACATGGGGACGCCAAATATCAAACATGACCAGGAGCTTCGTATTTGACCAAGTTGCTTTCTTTTACCTTTGTAATTTCGTTGCGTTATTTTAACGTGTATTCTGCATGGCCCCGTCAATCGCGCGCTTCAAGATGACTGCTGAGGCCATGCTGATGTGACCCGGGTTCAGTCTGTGACCATAATCAACGCGACGACTCTACAGCTGTAGAAGGGAACTGTCCAGGTGTGAGGTAGGTTAAGGAACTTTTATGAACTGCTCAAAGAGTTAAACACTTTCACTTCACATTTTTTGTTTGTTTGTTTGTTTGTTTGTTAATCTTAACAGCAGTAACACATGTATCTGCATTAGGCTAGTGCTAATTTGCTGACTAAATACATGTTAGTTATGTTGCCCAATTACCCAACTAATTTAAATTTTGTAGAATCCATGAATGTTAAAAATAGTGAAGCAAAGAAGTCTCATATTTGCTAATTATGGGTCTGCGGGTAGAGTCCTCTGGTGGAGGTCTGCAGCTCTGCACCTGCTGCTTAAGCACAATGTGTTAACACTAGCTGTGGCCACTAGGTGGAGCCTTCACTCTAATGTCGAGTCCTCTGAGTGAATAATACGTGGGGCAAGCATATAATGCTTTTGAATCCTAACCCTTTTTGGCTGCAGACCAGAAAGGAGATGTTTTTGTTGCTTAATCAGCATCAGATTGGTTTGTTGTTGACATGTTGACCTATTCAATAATTGTTTAACTTCCTAGACATATCTCCACTGGACAGCAGCCATATATTTAATAATTACTAGAAACATGTCTTGTTATATAAGAGATTATAAGACAACAAAGTCTTTTAGGTCACTTACAGTGTTTTGTATCTGTCCTTTAGGTTACACTATTATGGGACAACCACAGATAACCAATCCAAAATACCCTCCCTCCTTACTAGGCCAATGTGAATGAAATGTTCCACCCAAGGACACAACGGGGAGCATGCACTGGGTCAAGAGGGATGTGAGAATCACCTAACTTTGAGGACAAACACAAGATGATTACTTTTTCATTGTTCCTCCATGGTTTGTTACACATTTACATTCCATAGACAAGCGGGCAGTTTACTATCAACTCGGGGGGTTAATGAGTAGATAGATGACCTTTAAGATGCCTTACCTTTCCAATTTTTTTCCCCTAAAATATGTTGACATGGTCTTATCACCAAAGGCATACTAGTATAGATAGTATTTCAAGTAGTGCTGCTCCTACTTGAAGGTGTTTGGATTGGCTGTGATGTTCCCTCATGAACAACATACCTGCCATTTATATAATTTAAAACAATATGGAATATCAATACTAGGTTTTGGAGTTAATAACGATATCATATATGTGTCAAGGTTGCAGTGAAGTTCACAAATTAACTTAAACAATGACAAAATGTATTTATCTAGGATATAAAATTATTTGGTGCATGATTGTGTAAACGTACAACCCTGTTATTAGCCTAATTGCTTTTTTAAATTTACATTGTATCTCATTAAACTATTCAAATCTGATGCACTGAGGATGAACTGAGAATGACACATGGGCATACACAGACAAGGGCAGCTTGGGAAAAATATCAGTAAAATGTTCAAAATCAGGCCGATTCCGATATCTAGGAAAACTTGCCAAGTTCCTATACATTCCTATATACAACATGTAATACACAACATGTAATACACAACATGTAATGCAATTTTAAACAAACTTTTTTGTACCTTTTTACATCCATTGTAACACCTTAAATGAAGGTACTCCACAATAACAAAATACATTATTGAAAAACACCCCGTAGCACCCTGCACTAGCCACGTAACCACAGCAACTACCAGTCTCCCTCCTCTCTTCTCTGTTCTCTCATCACTTTCCCCCCTCCCCTTCCTGTCCTGTTCTGCCCCGTCTCTCAGCAGGGATCAGACGCACACAAAGCCTCTCCCATGATGCTTTGCAAGAGGAAGGCGGAAGCCGTCAGACAGCATCACTCTCAATGTGGAGAAGAGATCCAGAGCTGGAGAGCCGATGTCTGAGCAGGTAGCGATCACCGCGGGGTGGCCAGTGGTGCCTCCTCCCGGACCCTCTGGAAGTGATGGTGTTGTACGGGTGAGTGAGCAGTCATTTTGTTTTGTTCATTAGATGGGAGGAATTTTAAATGTGGGCCAGACATGCTGACAGATGGAGGCTGCCGGTGTGTTTAAAGGCGCAGTAATCCTATATCCTATAACGTGGGCAGACTGGGTTTGATACAGGCAAAGCAGAGAATATAGTATGAAAATATGTGGTAAGAGAGCTTGTAGCCAGGTATGACAGTCTTTATATTAGGGCTGCAATTAGTCATCAGAATAATTGTGACTAATCGGCTGTTAAAATAATCATTTTAATAATTGTCCATCATTATCAGCATTTTTAAAACTGCAAAAAACATTTTATAACAAAAGATATCTGCATTATCAAATCAAAATGGCAAAAATTAAAAAACTATTTGTGATGTGTTAATAATATTATCTCATTCATAATTACTGTCTAACTAGTAGACTTCATTTAGCATATTTTTTACCTTTATGTTTTTATCTTAGTGTACTATAGAATTTACAGTTTGATTAGGTTCCAGCGCTACTTACATTGGTCACTGTAACTGTATTATAGACCTTGTCATGTCTCAAAAACAAACTTCTACAAAGCAGTCTTTCAGCAGAGTGTATAATGCATATAGTGTCAAAGCCGCCCACTTGGACAAATGCACAGACATGCTATTGTTTGGCAGAATGAACTTTTATTCAGAAATCAGAAATGGCAAGTGTTTTCTAATTTGTATTAAATAGTAGATGTGGGGCTGTCACCTAAAGAGATGTCCAGTCAACCGATTAGTTGACTAAAAAGGGACATGGCAAAAGCTCTAAAAATGGTTGCATATCTCATCACAAACATACCCGGAGTTGTGTTTTGTTTCATTCACAGGTTTTCCACACTAACCCTGCATATTTAGGCTAACTTCTTCTCTCAAACACAAAACTCTCTGTTCCACCTTGTGATGTTATGTGGTAATACAGGAAGTGCTCCACTGTGTTTTTAAACACATCATATGTCATGTCACACCTTCACTAGAATCATTTGTAGCCCTGGTATTGCAAGTCTCAGCTGAAAAGGTAAAAAGGTAGATGTCAACACTTCATGATATCACAAGGAGGAACAGAGTATTTTGAGCTTTGGAAATGTAGACAGACTAATAATAAAGGATTACTCAAACATATGTTTTGATGAGATAACAAGATTATAACATGACTTACTCTTCTTTCTGCTCCTTTCTTGTATGTTTAATTTTGTGACATTGGTTAATGTCTTTTTATACTTTATGAAGGAAATAAACAATGAAATAATAGAAAATAATAATAATGACTTAAAGCTCACAAGAGTCATAACAACAACACCGTGACATATTTTCAATTGCCATAAAAAGTGCTCATAAAAAAATGATTATCAGATAACAGACTAGAGCATGGACAACATGTACTGCTGAGATAGTTGGCCAAGATATAAAGATAAAAATCAGCTACTGTATTGCTAATATGATGTCCACTAAGGCTAAACTCTTCTGTATGTCTCTTTTTGCCAAAAAAAAAACAAAAACAAAAAAAAACCCACAAAATTTGAATTAAGGAGCCCATATTACACTACTATCTGTTATAATGTTGTTTCCTCATCACAAACATACCTGGAGTTGTGTTTTGTTTCATTCAAACATGTTTAACACACAAATCCTGCTCTTTTAGCCTGAGTTCTTCTCTCAAACACAAAACACGCTGTTCCACCTTGTGATGTCATGTGGTAATACTGGAAGTGCTCTACTGTATTTTTAAACTCCTTATACTCCTTCACTAGAATTATTTGGATGACCTCAGCACTGGACCAAACTATTAAAAAAATATATCTATTACCTTGAAAATTACAGCTTCATGGCATCATAAGGTGGAACAGAGCATTTTGAGCTTTGGAAATGTAAACAGTAATAATAATGGGTTTCACATGAATGAAACAAAATACAACTCCAGGTATGTTTTTGAGAAAGTAACAAGATAACGTGGATTAAAGCTCATAAGAATCATGTACTGGTAACATAGGGCCTTTAAACTGTAAAACAAGCCAAATATAAATACAAAAAAAGAGATAAACATCAGTACAGTTAGCTATTTTACATTTACACCACAGTGGAGCCAGCCCAACAGCATCTCTGACCACCATTCACCCACACACACCACATTCACTTGATTATGTCAGCATTATATCTGATGACTCTTATTTATCATAATCCTGTCAAACTAGATGTCCTCCCTGTTTGTGGTCTAGTCCTTTTCAGTGTACAAATTTGAACAGGTTAATGAGACTTCTTCAGTTTCAGTTTCAAATTATTTGCCTAGTAAAAAATTGACTGGGCTTAACCTAAGGGGCTGCCCTGTGTCACATATTCTGCTTTCCCATACATCTACTCTGTTTGAATACTCTCTGTCACTCTGCTGCCTAGTAATATCAGTGTAAACTACGCAGGTGTGATGTAAATGTTTTAATTTTAGCATTATATAAAATAGGAATTATTTCAACGAGTGTATTATATATTTTTTTTCAATAAAGATATATATACAGTATTAGGATTATTTTAATAGCTGGCTGGTAGTGATTTTTTTTTATTTATTTAATTTGTTGTATAATTGAACTACTATTACTATTGTGAATGTATTTTTAACCAGATGAAGATAAGAATTATAGAATTATATCAGTCGTCCTGGTAGTTTCCATAGTGGTCCATAGGCATAAACTAGTCTGTGTGATCATATACTTGTTTAGGTACAGCTCAAGATTATTCAGGAATGGTTGTGAAAAGTGATTTCTTTTTTTTTTTTTGTATCAACACTTGCTCAAATGAGTATCTAGTTTCAATACTAGTTTTAGTATCTATTAAAATCTGATTTAATAAACTTTTGACAACCCTAATGTACTGTATTATTCATAAAAAATCTCAATATATTTAGCTATTCTTTTTGACATTTTGATAATAATTAATAATGCTGCTTCCTCTGTTATAAAACATCTTCTGGCATGTGTTTTAGTGCCTTGTATAGTCCAGATAAGTAATAGTAGCAGTTATAAAAAAATAAAAAAAAGTATGTTAATAGTTGTCTAGTCATGACTATTTTTCTTAACTGTTCCAGCTCTATATCTAATATAGCTATGGATAATGGATTGAACTGATATACATCTAAAGTAACTAAACCCCCTCAGGTAAGATACAAATTGTATTCAGAGATGTCCCACCCACTTCCAAATTCTGGGCCAATAGGAAGGAGCTGTTTCCTATCTGACTACAGTATTTATTCACTGGCCCTTCTCCTTTGAGTTCATATGACTTCAGATAGAGAGCAGATAACCTACGCGGCTCAGGACAGTGTACTCAGAGCTTCTGTTCACCTAACTCTGCAGGTGAGGAATATTTTTTGCATTGCTTCTAAATTTGTGCTTTTAAAATATTGTCTTTCACAGCTCTGTGGACTATTTTACTGAGCTTGTTTTGGGCAGTAGTGTGAAATGTTGACAGGGCTGCTAACTTTAGTATCTAACATTTTAAAATTTTCATTAGTTTAACATTAGGCTAACTCAAAATTCTTTTTGTGACATCCCAATCTGGAACTCCACTGCAGCTTAAGTTGAACAGGTGGATTTGAACTGTGAGCCTTGTAAGAAGTTACATTGCGTTTATTGAAAGGTAAATAATCAACTAAATAAAGTCTTGAGCTGCAATAACCTTGTGTTATAAAATGTGTCCTTCATTGGTGTACATGTATCCAGTGCAGTGTTTTAATCTATAATCTATGAATCTATGAACTTTGGTGTATTTTTGTATGAGTTTTTTTATATTTAAATGTGTAATTTTAATGCATTTATGTTGTTACTGTGAAGAAAATGTTAAGTTAAAATGAGATTCCACAGACCTCATTTAACCTGCAACAAGATTACCAGGTGAATGAATCATCTATGAATTGAAAAAACATGTACATTGTTGTGGCAAATAAGACTTTAACAAGATTAAAAATTTATGTTTCTTTTGGTTTACTTTTAGTCAATTACAGATTGCACGATTATAGATTAAATTGAGTTAATTTTGTCTTTCTAAATCTTAAGAATGAGAGAATTTTATCTCAAAACAGAAATGCAAAATAACAAAAAGTTCTTCCACTGATTGATTCACCCAGTGGTCACATTTATAAGATGAACCATTCTCTATTAAGCCTGTTACTACATTAAGCAGTGCTATTGTACCACCTGATTAAAGACCATGTCATTGATTGGTCACAGAAACAAATCATTTACTTCATGCTTTTCAGAGTTGACGCTTTAGGAGTTATAAGGAGTTGGTTTTGACTCTTTAAAGTGCTTTCATCTTGTAAATGACTCTGCCTTCTTTGTGAGCGTGCTCTATTTGTGCACAGACTTACTGTCATGGTTACGTTCTCTAACTGTCACCCACTTTAGTTCCACATATATTTACTCTTGAGGCTTTCAGTTAAAAATATGCTGACATTGCTCTACATGACTTGGTTAGTCTGCACAAAATAGCTGAATACTTGAGTTCTTAGATTTTAGATTTTTTTTGGTTTATTTAGTTTTTAGGTCAAAATTTTGTACTTCTTAATGTATGTATATGTAATGACTTGTCTTTAAATTGACCCAACTGTGTCCCCAGATACTGTACGACGAGGTAGACATGTTCAAATATAGATCTTACTAATAACAACTGTAATGTTGATTTATTTTTATTTACAAAAAACATTGGACATGATGGCCAAATTGTTTGTGTTGTAATTTGGAGTTTTGTTTCACAATGACTGATGATTATCCGGTCATAAAGCTGAATGAGCCTGTCGTGGTTCTCTCATTTCAGTTATCAACGCTGAAATCCAGTTGCTTTAAACCTAAAAGAAATTTGTCTGATCTGAGTCCTCACTATCTAGCATCTACAGCCAGTCATCAATCAGTGCTAGTTCAGTCCCTGCCACTGCAGTATATGCTGTCCATATAATGAGACCGAGAAAAACTTCTATGCGTCATCTATATGCAGGTTAAGGCACTGGCAACCCAGGTTCAGTTGTAGTGTACAAGAGTGCAGGCTACATTCAATTCCTTTATTTAGTTGATCATTTAAGTAAAATCTGCTTGTTCAACAGTTGGGTTGGGAATTACAGGGTCTCTCACAATTTGATACATGGCTCATGATACAAAAATATCCAAATAATATATGGTACTACAAGCAAACAATATCCTGCACATGATATTCTATGATTACCATATACTATACTATTTATAACACTATTTTCTTATTAAATTACTGTATGCATTCTGTTTATACATAAATACATTGAAGCCATTTTAAGTGTTGATATTATTTGTGTTCATTCAGGAAGAATAAAAAGACAGTAAATTCCTGTGTTTTAAGTTGAAAAGAGCGGCCGGCCCCGGTACAGGACGTCCTAATCACAGCACAACATTATAGTTGTGAGACTAGGGCCAATATGCTGCTGCTGCTGGACTATTTTATGAATAATGAGAATAGGTTCTTACCAAGAGACACAGCTGCTACTGTGGACTGTTATCTAGGAGGGAATGGTCATTGATGTCAGCGCTTTGAAGAAGATCCCACACTGTTGAAAATTACATTATAGTTTCCTTGTGACAATTCTATGAGATAAATGTATTACGAGTGGAACCTAGAGGCAATGTTGACATTTTGTTATTGCTGTTTTGGTCGAGAAAAACATAAATAGGCTTAATTTAATTTTTTTTTAACCTAAGGCAATGAAGGGAAATTAGACCCATTACAAATCAGAACAAATGTGTGTGCGTCATCAGAATTGTATTAATGTCTGTTGAAAGAATAAGACTTAAATTTATTATAGAATTCAGTCTAATTTCTTGTAGGAAGCTTGGGCAAATATCTCTCTGTCTTTGGAAAAAAACATATTGACATGATATAAGATAAATGTCTTTGTAATTAAGTACGTATATTAATTTCAGATGACGTCAGACATTCTGGGCCAGTAATATTTAGTACAGATAGGAAGCAGAAAATGAATATTGTTGGAATGTAGATTTTTGTTCAAATATTAAGTTAGGATCTAATCAACAGGTAATGATAAATCATCATGATAAAATATTAAGGAAAAAATAATAGTATTGTAAATAGTGAAAACGGTCTCTAGAATGACATTCTAGACTTAAATCTAAAAACACCAATACAGTTTGTAATTTGATGTTTTCTGTGATTTAGAACATGATAACCATATCCATATGGTTTATATACTACAGCACTTTCTTTATATGCACAAAATTTCCAAAGATGCAAGAGGTATCCTGAAATAATTGTTGTTGTCATACTTTGTCTTATTTTCTTTTCTTTGTCCTTCATGAACACTATAATATAATATTCTTTAAGTTGAAATATTTTGGTTTTCTGCTGCCAGTGTAAATTGACAGGAACTTTGACCCCACATGAAATCATAAATCAAATAATTTACACTTCTCTTCATATCTTTTTAGGAACACAGCTGACCACTTCATTCTCCCACCACCTCCATACCACCACACTCTCCTCAGAACCATGGAGGAGGATCTCGCCAATACCCCTGAGCCCTCCCCTCTTCCTCCTCCACCCCTGTTGGAACGCCAGCTTCGCCAGCGCCCATCAGCCATTACCCTGCTTAAGTCCAAAATGAAACACGGAGTAGACTGTTCTTTGCCCAAGGTCCGCTCCACCCTCACCGGCTTCTTTCCAGTGGTGCGCTGGCTGCCTAAATACAAGCTCAAAGAGTACATATGGGGTGATATCATGTCTGGTCTCATAGTGGGGATAATCCTGGTACCACAAGCTATTGCCTACTGCCTGCTGGCCGGAGTGGACCCCATTTACGGCCTGTACACATCATTCTACGCCAACATCATCTACTTCCTCATGGGCACTTCTAGACATGTGTCAGTGGGCATTTTCAGCCTCATGAGCCTAATGGTTGGGCAGGTAATGTAAATTATAGTTTCAGAACTGGCAGTTTAAGCAAAAATAACTGGGTGAGAAAACATTACATGATGACGCTTGAGCCAAATAAGTGGCTTATTAGTATTGTGAGGGTGCCGTTGATGATTCAGTAGAAAGTTAATTTATGTTAGGAAACAGCATACAATGACACGCAAACAAAATTACTGTAATGAGAAAATTGTTATTGTTAACGTGGAGCTTGGTACTGATCTTTGTATTGTAAAAGATAAAAGATAAGATCAAATTTAGTTCAAATCACTTAAACTTCAGATTTCCTAATGGATTTGACCTAGATTGAAACATTGTGTTAATTTTAAATGGAACTACTTAATTAAAAATGTACTCCAGCACAAGTAGTACTGTTGTAACTTGAAAAATGTTTAAAAACATAAATCCTTCTTACTCTGTGAGGGCTTGCAACCTCCAAAAATTGCAGTTTGTGATCAAACTGACCCGAACTCAGGATATTAATCTTGAATTGAGTAGTTTTAACTAGATTAAATTTAAGTTCTATTTAAGTTAGTTGGTTAAGATTTAAGTAGGCATTTTGACCTGATTTAAGTGTATTTAAATGAAATTTTCATACTTCTTTTCTTAAATCTTAAAAAATATATATATTAAGCACTGTTAGAAATATGTTAACCAACTAAATAAATCTAAACTAGAAGTCACAATTTATCTTATCAAATGACACTAACATTAAGTGACCTAATTTTATCAGTGTCATTGTACTACTATAGATTTGGCCACTGAACTCCCTATTTCCAAACACTCCTTTATTCCTATTTACAGTGCATGTATAATAATGCTTCAACAATCCTTGGTATATTAATTAATGATGTATCTTAATGTGTTCCTACAGGTGGTCGACAGGGAGGTGTTCCAAGCCGGCTTTGACACTAGTGAAGATTCCAAAATATCCAAACTGAACCTGTTAAATGGCACACTAGACATCAATATGACCACCAAAACTATTGAGCTCTTCGGGGTGGAGTTTGAGAAAGAGTCCTATGCTATTATGGTGGCTACAACACTGACATGTCTGGCTGGAATTTATCAGGTAAAAACACTGTGTTTCACAAATATGACTTGACTGGGATCCAGAATGCACACTTCTCCAATACTGCACCATTCACTGCTGAATCACCCCAAATTCAGATGGGCGTGACTCATAAGTGGATTAACCAATCAAAGTCACAACATAGTTTTGCACAGGTTTGCATTAAAATAAAAAAAATCTTAAAGAAATTAAAAACATCACAGCAGGTGTGGCTACCACGACTGAGTCTGGATTGAATGAATAATGCATTGTAAAGTGCTTTGGGTATCTTGAAAGGTGCTCTATAAATCCAATGATTAATTAATAATTAATATCTTTCTGTATAAAAATAGATATCATTCCGGACTTGCCAGGTAATGATTACACTGCTGTCTTATGGAAAATAGGACTCTAATTGAAACAAAGTTAGCAATCATGAAATTCAATTATGATTATCCAATTTACTAATGTTTACAGTTTAGAGCCCATTTACATTTTAAACAACAAAAAATTGTTTAAATTTTTTAGGGTAAAGATCACTTTTTAAATTGAATATGAAAAGAAATTCATTAAATTTCAGGTTGTCCAACTATTCCATAAATATAAAAATGCATTAGATATCGCAGAGCTAGATTACATATTACAGTTACATAATACTTCCTTCAGACATGCACTAATCTGTACATTTGCTCTGTCCCAGGTGCTAATGGCAGTGTTCCGCCTGGGCTTCGTCTCTGTTTACCTTTCTGCTCCGATGCTGGATGGGTTTGCCACAGGGGCCTCATTCACTATCCTGACCGTCCAGGCCAAATACCTCTTGGGACTGAAGATTCCTCGGCACCAAGGCCCCGGTGTGGTGGTTGTCACATGGTTCAACATCTTTGCAAACATTCACAAGACCAACTTCTGTGACCTCATTACCAGCGCCATCTGTATCTTTATTCTAGGTAAAGTTTATTATTAGGATTGCTTTTTTTTTTCATCCAAGTACTAACCAGGCCCGGTCTTACAGGTATGGCCACATATTGCTAAAGCTGGTGTAAATTTGGTGTACAAATGTACTATATACTAGAAAAAAAACTGAAACATCAATATTTACTAAGTGATCTGAATTTAACTAGATAATCAGTTTAACTTAAATTTGTTAATTGTCATTAGCTTAGTAAATCTAGATTGTGTAACTACTTATCTTATTTTCTAGTGGCTGGCAAAGAGCTCCAAGACCGTTACAAAGACCGCCTAAAGATGCCCCTGCCCACTGAGCTGGTGGTGGTGGCAGCTGCAACTCTGGCCAGCCATTTTGGAGACCTGAACAGTAAATACGGCTCCAGTGTTTCCGGGCACATCCCCACAGGTTTCATACCCCCTAAAGCACCCAGCTTAGAGATCATGCCACAGATCGCACTTGATGCTATTCCACTTGCTGTAATTAGGTAACTCACACAACTACTGTTTCATATTTCAATATTTTAGATTTTCTTTAACAATTAAAATTTTTATTTTTTTTGCTTATCAAGTTTTGCCTTCACTGTGTCACTCTCTGAGATGATGGCGAAAAAACATTGTTATACGGTGCGGCCAAATCAAGAGATGCTGGCAATCGGTTTCTGCAACATCATCCCCTCCTTCTTCCATTCTTTCACCACCAGTGCTGCGTTGGCCAAAACCATGGTTAAGGACTCCACTGGCTGCCAGACACAGGTGGACTTCAACTCACTAAACTAAAACATTTCCAGATTACTTGCATTACATAGCCCAACTGAATATGCTGTGAACAAAAAACACAATTGAAAAACAAAACAGAGACTATTCTACCACAAGAAACGATAGATAATGCTCATCAGTGGTGTAATGGTTTAAGCATTTGCACATACAGTTCATGGTTGTGGGTTTTATTCCCAGCCTCAATCAATTGCTGAGCGTAAATCTACCCTCTCTCTCCTCATTTCACACATTACCTGTCAAATAAAGCTTAAAGTAGTAAATGAAAAAAGAAAACACTGATCATTTTGAACACAATGATAGCAACCTCAACTTACATCCACACGTGACACAAAACAGATTTCACAAAGTGGTACTGAAGCAAAAAAAATGTTAACTGAATGCCAGACATGACAGTTGTTTACTTGAATGTCCTGTTCCCTAGGTCTATTAATGGGTTCAATTTGAACTACTACATGGCTCTGTAATTAGTTGCCCACTCACAAAAACATGAAAACACAGCCTTAAGTGGTCAGCTCACATCCAGCAGCTAGGATAGGCACAAAGTCCCATTGGGACACTAAATGAAAGACTGAATGATGTAATAAACACAATCAATAAAACATAAATTGGGCTAAGTATTTACTTCAGCTACAATCATCAAAAATATCACCTCTATTTTCACTGAGAAATGTTAATTTAGTTCTTCTCTTTCAGGTCTCCAGTCTCATCAGTGCTTTGGTCGTCCTTCTGGTCCTCCTGTTCTTTGCCCCCTTCTTCTACTCTCTTCAGAAATGTGTCTTGGCTTCTATTATCATTGTCAGCCTACGGGGGGCGCTCCGGAAGTTCAAGGATGTCCCAGCGAAGTGGAGAGCCAGTCGGGAGGATGCTGTTGTTTGGCTTGTTGCCATGGCAGCTACAGCACTCATCAGTGTGGAGCTGGGTCTTCTGGTGGGCATTGTGTTTTCCATGACCGTGGTTATCTACAAGACTCAGAAACCCTAAGGTGAGTCACAATGTACAGAACTATATCTATACTGACAGGCACCCCACTACTTTAGAACAATGTCACAATATGTTGTTTCACCATCTTGACACAACTGGCAACAAACAAATTGGAATTATAGTTTTAGTCTCTATAATTTATCTTAACTTGTCAAAAGTCAGCAGATCCAAGCGGAAAGCAGATGGAGACAAATGCTTGCTAAAGCCTTGCTGAGAAGGTAGGCAGGGTCATTCAGCAAATTGTCTATTTGCAACCATAAGGCCAGCTTAGATTTGGAGTCCAATATGGTGGGTACTATTTTATAGCCATCAATAGCAAAAACCTGTTTCCTTTATCATCCCCCATCATTTAATTGTATTTTATACAGTGGTGTAAGCTATATATTCAATGCAAAATAATGTAGTCTTTACTACTTCTGAACAAAGACCATTGTAAAGCTATTCAGAAAATGCCCAAATTCCTTTTTAACTTTGTGTTTTTAGTGTGCCTTATCAAATGGATATAGAATGAATATACAAGTTTTACTGTGTATCATCTCCTCTGACAACCATGCTTCAGACATTCACTATCCATGTCTACTCAGGTCTCTCTTCTGGGACGGGCCAGTGATTGCAACCTTTACGAGGACATGGATGAATACAAAAACCTGCTGCCCCCTGCCCGAGTGCATGTGTTCCGTTACCAGGCCCCACTGTACTACGCCAACAAAGATGCCTTCCTCAAAGCCCTCTACAAACGTGTGGGAGTCGAACCTTTCTTGGAGCTGACAAGGCGGAAAAAGGAACACAAAAAAGCCAAGATGTCCGCCAAGCACACCGGTGGGGACAAAACCAATGGGGAGGTGGTGGTAGGGCTTATTAAGAGTGAGTTGGACTTCCACTCGATAGTCCTGGACTGCTCTGCCATCCCGTTTATAGACTCGTCAGGCATGGCAACACTCAAATCAGTGGTCAAAGAGTACAAAGACATCGGAGTGAGTGTGTATCTGGCCAGCTGTTATGCTTCAGTTATAGATGCTCTACAAAAGGGAGAGTTCTTTGGGAAAAACAACCAGAACATGGGTCAGCTGTTGTTTCACACTGTGCACACTGCAGTGGAATATGCTTTGGCATGTAAAGCAGCAGAGGGAGAGAGCAAGTCAGCAGCCTCTGTGGTCTAGGAACCTTTTCAAAGTTAAAGTGGGGCTAAATACCTAAACTCATCGAAACAACCACATTTCAAATAGAGCTGCTAAATTGGACAGTAGATGGAGGATTAAAGGGAGAGCGAGGGGGGAGAAGGGCTGGGGTGTGGGGATTTAAGAACAGTGTGATTGGTCCAACAGGTATCCACACTGCAAACTCTGCCCCTACAGCCATGCGTTTGTAATCAGTAACAACTGACTGTAATCAGGAAAGTCTTGTGTAATGTCATGTAGTACTTAAAACTGGCAGCACACACATATATACCTAGTTTGCACAAAGATTTTCGCCAAAAAGCTATTACAAACACCATGTACAAATGTGGTTTATTCTAACAAAAGTGCCAGAAAGAGGGGCCTGGAGCTATTGTTCACCTGTTCACAGCATTATTTTGCTTTTCATTATGTCAACATAACAAGTGCAAAAGGAAAAAAAAAAAGGAAATCTGCAAAAAAAAAAACAACAACTTTTCATTTTGTTTTTTTGTAACTGTAGTCTATAGTGATTATAGTCAGAGGCACAAATGACAAGAGCCTTGGGCAAATATGTTCATAAAGATGTGATCAAAATGTGGCTGCTAAACATACAACACAACATTTAAGGAGCAATAACAGGTTGAACATTGCTGTTTTTACAAAGTGTTTCTTTCTTTTGTTTTATCTGCCTCCATCTTGACATGTGGATGGTCCCTATCTCTGAGACAATAGGAATAAAAGTGACATTACTGCCACATAAATAAGCCAACACTAAATATTATAGCTCTAGTTCTACTGCTGAGAGCTCCGTTTAAACAATGGCTGTAATCCAAGAATCAGAAGTAGTATTATGTTTTCCGCAGCATCTAGTGATTCATTGCACGTAGTTTTAGTATCTGATTTTCAATACTTTTGACAACCCCAGTGTGCAATCAATTTTAAGCTAAAACTACATGATTTGCAACTGGAAAGGCTGGTCCAAGAGTGTAAATTTTCTTTGATGTGTTAACTTCAAGGTAAAAGAAAAGGAAATTTTATTGTTTTATATATATTTTTTGTCATGTGAACTGTTAATAACTTGATTATGCCAACATTTTACTAATCAATTTTTAACCTGCTGTCAGTAACATTCTCATAAGAACAGGTCATAATGTTGGACCTGTCACATGCTGTTCTCTTCCTGTCCCTGTGAAGAGCAGTGAAGCATATACGTTCTCTGGACTCTCAAAGAAACTCGTTTACTCCGGCCCCCAACATGGCAAAAATACTAGTTACTCTGTCACTCTAGCCTCATCTTTGGTACTGTGAACAAGGATACAACTTACAAATCGTTAACATTTCTGTGAGTACAAGCATGGCAGCTAAAGAAGAGTCATGTTTTGTGAGGGCAAAGATTAACTTCAGTGTTACTGCCAACTATAATGGTACAACGGTTTTGATATAAACAAATGTAGGAATTAATTCAATCTTATAGTTGTTGTGTTTAATAAGATTTCTGAAATCTTTTTCATGTGTTTTTGACTAACTCTGCCTTAATGTGAAATACTTGAAAAAAATAATAGAAAGAAATAAAAAAAAATTGTGTAAATGTTTTAGTCTTTTGCTGTGTTTCTCAAGCTGTGGTGCATGTGGCACTAGTGGTATGCATACTGCCCCTTGTTTTATTAGTTTTATTCTTAGTTTTATTTAAAAACAACACTATTAATGTGTTTGTCCTACTTTTGGGTTAATCTTCATTCAGAACAAAGTTATCCAGAGGTAAGTCTCATTTTACTCAGAAAGGCAAATATTATCTTTGTGGTTATTGTGAACATTTCAAAACCACTGGAGTTGTCATAAAACTAAAATTTCAAACTCAATTTCAATACTAAACAATAGACTTTATATTCGATACTACCCAAATTATATATTTAAAAGCTGCTATTTAGACAATATTGTAATTTGCAACACACAATAATGATAATTGTTTATTATACCATACAGTCTTACACAAGTCCTGATAAAACTCAAGATGAAGCTGTTCAGGAAAGGTCAAATTTAATTCAGTTATGTGATTATGTTTTGTTGATCCTTTGTTTTTGTATTGTGTCTGAATCTAATGGGGTGTATATGACAATCTGACTACAGAGCAGCTGACTCATCACAATGCTTAATATGTATGTAATTAGCAAGTAATGCACTATAATTCAAATAGGCACAACAATACATCTCATGACAATAGTAGTTTAGTGTTTAAATTGCTTGTATATATTACAAATAGGTTGTTCGTTCAACCATTAAAGTCACGAAAATCCGGCATAAGAATCTTCAACCATTAAGAAACAGACACTTCCCAACTAAATATGTACAGCATTCTTCTTTATTCATCCCCAGGTATTTAAAAATAGATTTTTACATAGGCACTCCAATAAATATTATACTTTATCCTATGTGAATATTTCATGTGCTAGCATTTCACCAGTCAAAAACAAAAGCACAAAAACAATGATTCAAGCAGTTCATGAGAGTCAAACCAATAGGATTTCACACAGTCAAAATAAACGTCTTGTTCTTGTAGCACCTGGTTGTTGGTTTTCGGCTCATCAGAAGTGGTGTAACAGTAATTCCAAACAAGTCAGTCACATTGTATATTATTTACACCCGTACAAACATGAAATAAGGCAGAGAACATGCATAAAACTTACAGTAAAATCATTCTTTAGAGATTCATGACCAGCACATTCAGCCCCATGATCCTAAAGCCAAGAACATGATAGATTTGGGCAGTCCCTGCTCATTTTCCCCTTCAACAGCAATTAAAATAGATGACAATGCCACCTGTCTACAGTGAAGTGAACTACAGTCAGTGGACAACTTTCTTATGTGACAGTTTCATCAGAATTCAACTGAATTCTTATATTCCATGTATAGATGAAAAAATGCTAGGTTAACTGCTGTGTCCCATGTCCCATTAGATATGTTGAGAATGTAGATAGTCTTCTCTTAATGCATTCGTAGATTTCAGTTTCCTATGTAAAGATGACATTTTGAGGGCTTTGACGTTCAAAAAAACAAAACAAAAACACCCAAACCTCATGGCTATTTAAAATGATTCAAAACCTCATTGACAATTTCATTGACTAGCAGGGTTGGCCATTACATTTGCATGCCTAAATGTTCCATATTTGTGTGATTGTGATATCAATTTTATTTTCAGGACAGATATAAGTAAGTGCCACTATATACTCTTCAACTGCCATAAAGCTATATCTTTTTTCTCAGTTTTATGCCAGTTTTTTGTCATTTGTACCTGCAACTCAAACTCCCACACAAAAATTCAGGCAAAACTGATTTCTTCACCTTTTGAAAATATATTGTTCGATATGTACAAAAATGCAGTATCAAATAAAAGATTAAAACATCAAGGTTTATGCGTTATACATTAATATTTCAATTCATGCATTGTTTATAAAGTTGATTTGTATTTTCCATTTTGTTCAGTGCTCGAGTTATCAGATTTTGTGGAATATTCATTGGGTTCACCAATACTGACCTTGAATCTGTACCAATACTTTCATGCTATTACTGGCCTCCACTTATCTTACACAATCAGTTGGCTTTGTACACTACAAGGTCAAAAGTTCGGACACACCTTCAATGTGATGTAGCAATAAATAAATAAATAAATAACCCTATATTTTTAAATAATATAATATGATTTATATGTTAGATTCAGATTCCTCAAATAAGCCACCCTTTACTAATTAAAAAACGTCAATTGTGTCTTCTTTCACACATTACACATTAGCTAGCAGCCCAAACATGTCAATGAGGTAAATGGATCTCCAGCTGTATTGTCTTTAAAAAGAACCCAAGTTGCTTCAGCCACGCTTTGCTTTGTTGACAGCATTGCAAAACCTTGGCCTTGTCTCAGTGAGCTTCATGATGAAGTCTCCTGAAATGGATTCCACTTCACAGGTGTGTGCCTTGTCAGGGTCCATCAGTGGAATAGCAGAAGTGAGCAAAACAGTGATCAAAGCAAAGGATGGCTATTTTTGAAAAATCTAAAAAATAAAAATTATGTTTTGATTTATTAAATACTTTCTTGTTTACTACATTCCATATGTGTTCATTCACAGCTGTAATGCCTACAATGTGAATAGGCATAAGAATAAAGACACAACACATGAAAAGGTGTGTCTAAACGTTTGACTGGTAGTGTATGAGATGTGATATGTTGACTTAACTTAGCTGCTCCTCCTCTGGGATGGGCACGGCTGGCTGTGTCTGAACCTCATGATGTACACGGCCGTCTGCCACCAGTAGAACATCAGAACTACCAGGACGTGCCATACTTGGTGACTGGCACCCAGGTAATTCAACTGGCCTGGAGTGGGAAGAACATAAATATTTAGCATAGGTTGATCGACTAAGTTAAATGCATGTCAGAGCTCTGTACTGTACACCTGGACGTCTTAATGTCTCTATTTTTCAGCAGAATCGATGCTGTTTGTGTCTGGAATACAATTTATTTCATTGAATCTCAAAAGCAAAGGCAAAGGAGAAATTCAATATGTCAACTGGACAAAGGTTTATTTGGGTTGAAAATGTTTCACAGCTCATCCAGTTCAGAACTAAAGAAGCAGCTTGGATGAGCTGTGAAACGTTTTCAACCCAAATAAACCTTTGTCCAGTTGACATATTGAATTTCTCCTTTGCCATGGATTCTACCTGGACGACTGAGGGATTCTACACACTCAAAAGCAAAGTTTGTAAAAAAAAATACATGAATATTTATACTTTGCAGATGACATAATCATTATTCCTAGGAGGTGTGAAGCTAACTGAAAGCACTACTCTCTTGGAAGCTCGGTTATTCATGTTAGATTTAACCTGAGCCTTCTGCACTTAAAAAAGTCTCTTACACATAAAACTACAGTCACAAGCATTAGCCAACAGTTTTTCAGTTGGTCACCCTCAACTTTTTGTTGAAAACACAACACCTAAACAGCACCATGAAGGCTCACTTTTATCTCAAACTCCTGAAAATGTGTTTTTGTTTTTTTTTCTTTCATTTTCTGTCTCTCCAAACTTTTTTGATAGTGTTTGCTAATGTGTGCATTGTATGTATAAATTATATATATGTATAAACATTCCACCATTAGAGATACATGCCAAACGCCCCCAGCATAATGTCACTGCACAGTGTCAATATATCCACATTATTAAAAAAACAAGCTAAAGTGAGTAAGGGAAAAAATTATTTAAAGAATAAAAAGGTGTAGCTATAATAGGGTGACCAGATGTCCCAGTTTACCCGGGACAGTCCCAGTTTTGAGCCCTGTGTCCCCTGTGCCAGCAGATTCATCCAAAAACAGTGATTTGTCCTAGTTTTATACAAGAAATGTCCCAGGTGTCCCTATTTTTGACCAATTTGATACCTGCCAACAGTAAAGAGAGGCATAAATTGACATTTGTTAAGGTAAAATACAGAAATATAATTTTCCTTAATTTCCTTAATTACACACTCGTTTCACAATTTTATTATTAACAACCAGGGATGTTCCAGTTTATTTTGAAAATCTGGTCACCCTAATCTAAAAATGACCTGATATGAAATAATAGTTTTATGAACATACAATATTCATACATAGGCAAGGTGAAGGGCTTACCTGGGAAGTAACGTTCAGGAATCTTTGTGACGTAAAAGAGGAAAGCCGATGCAGCGATCAGGTACATGATTAATACTCGAGGCAGAAACAGCTGTGCACACAACAAAACTGTTTTAACAACTCCAAAATGTGTCCCATGTATATTTATCGAAAAAGCCCATCTGCCTAACCTGCACGATATCAGAAGTTAGTCCATCGGTGAGGCAGACCCAGTGGCAGGCAGGCACCACACTGACCCCGGCCACACAGCAGAAGATGGCCATGCGGATTCTCTTCCAGTCATTGCTGAGATAGTGAGGGTGCACCTGAGCTGAGAACACAGCCAGGATCAGGGACAGCACGGTCATCAGGTAGACCTGTCGCCAGAACTGAAACACACAAGAAACCTACTGTTATTCAAAAATTCACCTCCAATAGCTGAGCACAGGGTGAATGGACTGGTCTGATGACGGGGTAGTAGGGCTGCAAGATTACCATTGAGTCAGAATTTCAATTTGAGTGGACACAATTAGCAAATCACAAAGGCTGCAATATTTGAAGTGCCATCATTTCCTCCACAAATCATATCCTGTCTTAGTCTGGGGGAAAAAATCGCTAACCCTATAATAAAGATATGAACATGTTTTGAAATATAGCAATTAGATATTTTTCCCAAATCATTCAGCCCTCATGGATAGGTCTGAAAGCCTTCCATTTTAGAACCATAAGTAACAATAATTATTACTTAACATAATCGGTAGACAGGTTTAGGTATTGTCTGAATTCATGGTTTTCTTCCTGATTTGAAGGATTTTGTGATTTTTGTCCCCAGTGAAAAAATCTCATATTTGAATTTTAGATTTGGAATCGCATTATTTTGCCTGAAACCCATCAATAGGGAATTTTGATGAATCCTTGAATGTCACAGAGACCGTCAGGAGTGGTGGGCAATCAAAGGCCAGGATCGTAGTCAGGAGTACCTATCTTTGAAAAGTATTGTGCATGTTGTATTTGGCCAAATGTCTCTCTATACTCAAAACAGCCTACTATGCCCCTTAAAATCAGAAGTTGTATCAAAAAATAGACCCGATTAAGGCTTTAAATGCAAAGTAAAGTTCGGTGGACAAAGAATATTGCATACAGCGTCACAGTAGAAGGCGTAAAAGATCCCGGGAACATAGCAGCCCAGGATGCCCACTGAAATCCCTGCGTAGTCCAGCGACAGCCACCGTCGGCAGGTTTTCTCTGAGCGATGGCACGAGAACAAGTGGTAGCCCACCGAGCACAGCATGCACACCTGATCACAAAAAAAAAAGATTTTTGTTTATCGTTCAACAGATCAGACACTAACAGAAGTACTACAAAATAGATTATTACAAAGTACCGGCCTTAGAGTCATAGCAATAACTGCCTAAGTCATATTTACCCAGACTGAGTTTTCTTTCTCATTCTGTAGGTGACATTTACTTTGTCCTTGGTCAATCAGAAAGATTTAAAACACAAAATGAACACAGGCCATTTATTTTTTCATTTTCCGCAAAATAACTTAGGCAATTGTGCTATGATGCTAATGATGTACCATCTAAAACAGTGGAGCATTCAAAGGAGTCAGTTTCTAGTCTTTTAACATTGTCTAGTCTTTTAATACTGTCTACTCTCTATACTGTACAAACCTGTTGATGTCTTGATAGGCTGTAACATGACATATATTGATGTAATAAGTAAAAAAAGAATAAGTAAAGAAAATACATTTTACATTTTAAAATACATTGCATTATGGTTAATTGTGTCTAAGTTGACTACCCTTTTATTTAGATTATAAGGATTTATATTGGACAAAAAAAGAGATGTTAGCAAGTTATTTTAAGAGTTTGTATTTTTTGATAATTATATGTAGTAAAGCAGATTAAACTAATTATTCACAAATTTAATCTGCCTTTACATATTATTTACTGGTACTTTTTTGTGTAAATACTTGTTTTTCATGAGCTCCATTGACAGGTATGTCTTGTGAGTGCAGATTGGATTACATGCATAAAAGTATACAACAGTTTTGAGCCAGAGTTTTGCCACACTCCCTATTTAGTCAACTAGATGATCAACAGGACATGTCTTTAGTCCACTACAGTCTTACACTGCATTATGAATGAATAGAGATAATATAACTTGTTTTCATGTTTTAACAAAAACAATGTAGACGTTTTCACCTGGAAGCAGAATAACCCAATGGCATAGATGACATAGTCCTCTCTGTTGGCTCCGGAGGAGGGCAACACAGTGCACAGGTCATTGACTGCCAGTGAAAAGAAGAGAAGGAAGCCCAGCAGGTGGCTCCAGATGTTCACCGTCTCATTGGACAAGATGAAAATGCTGCCGTTGTGAGAATGAGATAAAACATATTTTAAATAATACTAGTAATACATTAGGAGAGGAATACAATGCAATGTTGACCATTGATTTTGTGTACACTGTAATAACAAAAGCACAATTTTCAATTTGCAACATGTAGAGTATTACATTTTTTTTTTTACATAATTATGATTTTCATATAGTTTATGACACTGCAATGGACAACACTGACTCGTTGTTGCACCAGTGAAAAGACTAGTTTCCTCATCATTAGAGTAGTAATATGTAATATATATTTGTTTAATTACATTACAGTCATTACTACAAGGCCAAAAGTTTGGACACACCTTCAATGTGATGTGGCAATAAACAAAATCAGTGTTGACATTTTCACCTGGAAGCAGAATAACCCAATACTGTAGCTGACATCTGCAGTATGCCAAGCTATACCATCTCAATGGACACAAACAGCTGGCGAACCCTCAACCAATTTCTTTCACAAGTTTCTTGTGCACCATAAGTTACAGTAAATGTCCTATAATATACAAAATTGGCTCTTGTGAGCTTTAAGTCATGTTATAGTGTCGTTATCTCCTCAAAAACATACCTGGAGTTTTCTTTCATTCAAATGTTTCAGTAACCTTGCATTATTAGCCTGTCTGCATCTCCAAATCTCAAAATGCTTTGTTTCTCCTTGTGATGTCATGTAGTGACAGCTACCTTTTACCTTTAGTTCAATAGAGAATGGCATTTCCAGGGCTGAGATTACTCAGATGATTCTAGTTAATGTGTATGAAGTTTAAAAATACAGTGGAGCGCTTCCTGTATTAAAACATGACCACACAAAATCGAACAGTTTTCCGTTAGAGAGAATAACTCAGCCTAGGTTTGTGTGTTAAACATGTGTGATGTGCGAACACAAGTCCAGGTATTTTTTTGATGAGGAAACAATATCATAACATAGACCAGAAAATAGCACATAGTATATCACCTCTTGAGGCAGAGTTTGGAGGGCAGGTGGGCCCGGTATCCGTCGGTGATGTAGGGGTTCTCCTTGAGGAATGGAGGGATTTGTTCGTACGTGTACAGTCGTATCCTCTGAGGTATGAGTACGGGCCAGTGCTGATAACTGCCCAGCTCGATGTAGTGGGCAGTTTTCAGCAGCTTCTGAGGCACCTTTAGCAGCATCCTTTTCATGAGGATCTCTCACAAGTCCAGGACCGAACACAAAGGCTGTAAGAAGGAAATGAGAAACAGTGAATTAAGCATTAATTATTCGTTTGACTGTCATGTTAGTTTATTATGTTTATTTTAAGGAAAGATGTTTTAGGTAAGTAGATGAAAACTAGGACTGCGATGTTAAAAGAGGGACCTACTTCTCACCTTTACATCACCACTGAAATGCTATTGTTTACATATACACTGGTTTAGCTAGTTAGTTGCAACATTCCTTTCCCCTTTTCCAACTCCTCGTGATTGTCTATAGAGGAAACAGACTAGTTAAAATGTTACCATACCGTGCAGTTATAACTAAGAAAATAGACATACACTGCAGTGATGAGGTTGATCCCCTTGGTGCAGCAGCTGGCTAAGGTGCTAATGTTGACAGATAATATTAGGCTTTCACTTCCGAGAAAGCAGAAACTGGGTGAAAGGACCTACCATTATCCACAGCGCGAATACCGAAGGATTGTCTCCTGTGATGCCATATCTACACAGATCGCAAGTTAATATTAAGTAAGATTACTCATTTGACTCAGATCAAACACAGCATCCCAGCAGCAGCAGTGAATTAAAACGTTCTTCGTCTCACCATAGTAATGAAAACAATAGAAAGCAGCGCGTTACTGCCACCACGTGGGAAGAATGAGTATAGTCGACCTACATATTGAAGTATTTATGATGTTTTAGAATTTGTTTGTGAGCTCAGCAATAAATAATTTCATAATTATTTAATTATAAATGTAACAATAATTTAATACTGTAGTATATGGATTATGTAGTCAAATAATGTAGGTAACCAAATTAAGTCGGTGGTAAGTATGTTGCAAGCACTTCACTGAACAGATCATGTCTACGATACTAGATTAACAATAGGTTTACTTGAAATAACATTTTTATGAAATTGATACACAATATGCAATATGTGTGAAAAGTGAATAAAATAACTCAAATGTCCCAAAAACATCGTAATTCCAGAATCAGTTATTCAATCATTACATATATTAGGCTGTTGTTTTCTTTGAAAAACAAATGTATTTTGTACTATCTTTAATTCCAGTGTTACAGCAGTCGTAAGCCTATTACATCTTTATGGTAACAGCAGTGATGGTAGCAACTCAACTTTTAAACATACACACCTACATTTAGGCCTATGTTGATAGAAGAGGAGTGAAGACACGAGTGCCTTTTATAGTGTAATAATTCATTCCACAAAATGTTTCAATTGTTATTTAAAAAAAAAAAGTTTATTGATACATATGTTTTATTATTTCATGTTTGTTACATGTTTCTTTATCCTCTTCATGTTGGTTCTTGCTACAAAGAGCTTGACATGAACTTGAACTTGACTATGAACTATTCGGAATATTTCATATTTCACCATATAACGTGTAAGTAATGAGAGCAGTGATCTGGAGAGTTAAGCCTTCCCTATTATTCATACACTTTATACTTTACACCCAGGAGTTAGAGTTATGGGAGAATAATATTGGATTGACAATGCTTTTACTTTTGTTACAGGGTAATAATTACAAATACAGCCGCAAGTGGCAATGATCGGCCCTCTCTCACTCCTGTGCCACACCGACACCACAACCCTCACTTGCTGTGCCCTGCAAACACATTTAACCCCTAACCCTACCTTAACTCCTAACCCTAGCCACAACCCTAGCTGTAACTTCAATCGTAGTCCCAACCCTAGTGCTAACCGAAACCCTAACCCAACGATAGCCCTGACCATAACCCTAGCTCTAGCCCCCAACCTTAACCCTATGCATAATGCTAACCATAGCCCTAACTGTAGACTAAACCCTGTCCATTTTTGTATTTTCTTATATCAATCTGTTCAGGGTCAGGGTGTGCACCAACAATTACAATTTGAGTGAAATTGGCCAAAGTTTGTGCAATTTAGCAGTTTTACCATTACAATAACAGAATAACACAAAAGTTTATATCATCGCTACGGCAACACCATAAAAAATATGGCATGGGTGACACTGACTTTTTGGATCGAGATGGCAAAGTGGATTTTTTTTGCAAAATATCATAAATTTTTGAAAAACCTGTTAAATCTTATTTAAATCTGTAGGGAGCATTAATGCATTTTTTGTTGCTTCACTGCTTAGACCCCGTAAGACGTGTGTTAAAAATTTTCATATCTTTTGATGTCACACTCCTTTAGACCAAATTTGAGCTGGTTTGGATGAATCTGTTCCTACATCATGGCAAGGGTCCCTGGTCACTACAGGCGAGTCACACTGCATCATTTCACTTCCCACCCATTAGGAGCATCGCTTTGCGATACTAACAGGTCCTTTGCCAGCTTCTGGTGCTCAGACCTAAAAAATTGTTGCTTAAAACATTCATTAATTTCTTCCAAGTTTGTTCTTAGAAGGAGCTGAGAAAAACAATGAATGCTTTTAGATTTGAAAATATTAAAATTTAGAAGCCATTTTGAATAGCATATTTCACCTTTTCGGTAAGGGGCATCCTCTGCAATGCACTTGGAAGACAGTAGAGGGCACAATATGTTCTCTCATTTCTTCACTCATGATGATAGGATTGTTCTGGCTCATCAGTCTATGAACAGAAAATCAGTTTTAGTCTGTTTTTTAATGAACACATCTCAGATTGTGTTAAGACTTACAACAAAAATGAGGTCTTTGTCATGGAGGCATCTCACTCTTCGGTCCATAACCATCCTCAGTGTAATTTATGTCTGGGGGTATCTGCTTTTTTTTGTCGTTCTTATGATGCACCTTCCTATTTTAACACATTCTATCAGGTAGGGATCACTCTGGTCCATTTTATGCACATGGCTGTCTTGCACAGAAATCTTAACTAACATAAAGATAATATCACCTTGACATGTTTCCAGAGTAACTTCAGATAATCTTCAAGTGGCGTCTTAACAGTGGTTAAGCTGTGGTCAGCAAGACATCTCTTACTGTCTGATCAACAACCAAATTATACTGTAATACAAAGAAAACATTTTGAATATTCCAAATTTTAAAACAGCATGTATTCAGTTACAGGTTACTGCAAAAAATGTGAGTAAAAATGCAGCTTTGATTATTTTTTTAAAGACTACAAAACCAAAGAAGATTTTAGGGAAATGCCATTAACCCAGATACTTGATTGTTCCAGCATTTGCATCATGATGACATCTTCATTCAGGGCATCTCCAGCAGGTGGCAATAGAGTACATTTTTATATACTGCATTAGACAATAAAGGATCCATGAAAGCACTGGATTTTTTTTTACATAACTTTAGTTAAAATATTCTCGACCTCTACAAGCAATATTGAACATTTTATCTTCTCTGTAGATGACATCCTCTGCAATGCACTTGGAATACAGCAGAGGGCACACAGTTTGCTTCTTATTTTTTCATTCACTATTATTTGGTGAATATTATTATGGTACAGGTACAGGATGGTAAATATTCTGATTCATGAATCTATGAACAGAAATTAAATTTTAGGTGTCTGTGTTTATGTTTGCTCTAAAATCTAAAATCTCTCTCTCTCTTTCTATTTATGTGTGTGTGTGTGTTTGTGTACACACACACACACATTCACACACACACACACACATTTTTATATATAATAATAAATAATATATTCATCCTATAGTGTTACTTATCTAATACTTAGCTTTATCTTGCGTAGCAGACATATTTTTTGTGAATGAAAAATAAAAAAGTTTATAAATAAAGAAAGCCAAAATCTTTCCATCACTGCATCACTTGTGTGAAGCAGCACTGATAGAAGAAACAAAACCACACAGTCTTTTGTAGTCTCTTGAATAGTTATCAACACAACATGCTAATGGGTTGTCCCACCCAGAACCCAGAACCACAGTTCATTAACTCAGCTTGTTTATTGACTTTTGTTGGCTTTAGATTTAATAAAGTAGAACAGAGACACGCCTCGACTTTGACTCCTCAACTCAACTCTGTGCTTGTTTGAGGTTGATGCAGATGTCTATAAAGTTCCACTGGCTTTTCAGTGACCTCTTTTTATGACATATACATTTATTTGGTTATTCGACTGAATGATTTTATAGTCAGGAACTGTGAATGCTCGTATTAGATTGTATTCACAAAAAATTTGCCTATGATGTCAGGCTGAACCCTGCTCTGACTACACCCATAAAGTCATGAAGCCTAATCTGCTGCAGATATTGAGAAGCATCCAGGGGTGTCTTTATTTGTTTGCAGACATAAGCTTCCCATTATGGATTCATTTTGAACTATATATTGCAATGATGCAACTAAATCTCTACCAAAGCAGGACTAAATCAGTAGGCTACTAAATCAGGATTAAACCTACACTTGGACACAGATTGGGTTAAGGACCAAACAAGATAACAATGAACACACCCTAACGGATTTATAACTATTTGGCAAACTTTTGACTGGCCTTCTTGTTGTAATGTGAGCATGTGAGTGATTCTACCTTGTAACAATGTCTACCACAAACCAGTTCAGGGTGTTTCCATTTTAGAAAAAAACATTATCAAATCACCATAACATGATGATAATGTAATGTTTGACTTTCATCTGTTCTTCATTCACAGTGCATGCAACTCCCAGCACTTGTTTGTACTGACAACAAATAACGGTAAGACCTCATCATGACAAAGTTTTAGAAGTTATTTATTTAAATGTATTATCTATTTATTTATTTCTTTGATAGGGGCAGTGCATATGAATGAACATCAGTGTAAATATGCCAAATTGTAGTAAAGATGCTAATTTCCAGCTGTTATCCCAAGGCAAGTGACACAGAAAACAATTGCAAAATCTTACAAAAGAGATAATGTCGCATAAAAAGTGTTCACAGACTTTGTTCTTGCATCAGTGATAAACTTTCTCTTATGGTCAGAGGAAGATTGTTCCAATAATTAGTGCCTTTGACTGACGGGACAGTCTGACCAAAAGTGCATCTGTGTGGTCCCCTTGAGACATGGACCTGGTGTTCATTTCACTCATAGTTTTTGGTCATATAGTCCTTTACTGGAGGAGCCCATTGTAACAAAGATGAGATGAGCTGCACTTTCATACATGTATCTGTGAAATGCAGCAGCCATATACCAATATGAATTAATTTCATATTCTAATATGTTTCTCAAAGCAATTATGGCTAAGAACGTTAAAACTGTCATCAACACAGCAGGTTTGAGGATAAAATTCAACACAGAAATACAAATTCTAAGAACTTCAAAGCAAAAGACCTACAGTTCAGTTTTTCTTATCAGACTACAAAATGCACTTTAATCTCCCAGAAAAGGATCACAAGGGTCTGCATGGCAAATGTTTGGATACCTACAGCTCAGTGAAAACTCTGAGGACCCATCTCAAGACACTGAGCTAGTTCGGCAAAGAGTACCTAGGAATGTAATGTCCTTATATTATTATGTGAATGTTTTCATGGGGGGAACTGATGCAACAGACCTAGGCACAGAGAGAACAAGCAGACACCACACAGAAAGGAGTCGTATTAGAGACCTTATTATGGGACTGGAATGTTAGTTACTTAGCCACTGTGTCCTTATATTTATTTATTTCAAATTATTATAGTGATCATTTTTGTCTTTCTAGATTTCTGTGCGGTTTATTGTGAAAGGCTGGAGGAAGCCTTCTCTCTTGTGTCACATAGCTTGACTCACAGACTTGAGCAGTATGCAGCAGCTGTGTGCCCTGCCCAGTGCACTTCAGTCTGTCGTCTCCACGTGAACGCGCTCACGGCCAAATACAAGACTGAGCTCCAACATGTGAAAGGATGCCTGGCTCTGCTATGTGGAGCTTTATATGCCTTTAACACACTCTGCTGCTGCTATGAAACACATGGATTATGGAGCGACCTCGTCTATGTTGCCAGATACTACTTCTTATCACTGTTTTGGTGACCCCTTCAGTTCAGGATGGTGACGAGGCTTCTTGTGATGGAGCGTTTGATATTTATTTTGTTTTGGACAGGTACTATTTATATCATAACTTTGTGATTGGTTAAGTGTGGTAGGCTTTCCTGAGGGACCACTCTCCTCTGTTCTGTCCATGTATGGCTCTGTTTAGTTTACATAGTGCTACTCCAGAATTTTAACTGTGCTTGTGTGCAGTTTGTTGATTATTTTCAGAGCATGTTTCTGGCATATTGTAACAGTCCATCCTATTACTATCGGTTTAGAAAAAACAATACGTTTGTATTAGCACTGCATGGGACAATTATAAACCATTACTATGTCTCAGTGTGTAAGAGAAATTTTTATCAAATTAAGAAAAGGATGAGATGAAAAAAATGTATTATTATGATGTATTGTCTATACTCTTGTTCCTCCAGATCAGGCAGTGTGTCTAGAAATTGGAATGAGATCTATGGCTTTGTGGAGCAGCTCACCAGCAGGTTTATCAGGTCAGTAAGCAGTATAAGATACAATATTTACAACTACAGAAGTTTCACCAAAGTAATTTACCTGACATGTATTCTTTGTGTAGTATAGTAGTAATATATTACTGTAGAGCAATGCCATTCACAATTATAGTTAGCTGTAATCATAGTAGCAGTATTAGTACTGCAGCAGAACTAAAATGGTAATTGTAGGAGTGTAGGAATGGTGGTAATTCTAAGAAGTAGTAATAGTAATAGTAGCTCTACCTTATAAAATTGATATGGCAAATGTTATTTTATTTAATTTATTTTAGTTAATTTTCACTGTTTTACTTCACCACTCACTAGGAAAACTTCTTATTACAAGGACAAATGCCACAAATGTGTATCAAATTGGACAAAGGGCAACAAGTTCCAAACAGTGGTGTAGAAAGTAGGACATGTCTATTTTGGGGCCACCAACTGCGCCTCTGGTGTGCTTTGGGTGGCACACAGTTGTGTTTGATATCTTTAGGTTTAATAGTGGGTTTCTAAATATGAGACAAAACATAATGTCCAGATGTGGCAGGAGAGCCCACCAAACGCACTGACGCTTCTGTATTCCATCTACTGAAGACTAGAAGAACAGGAAACAGCTGGGAGTGGTGTAGAATTAGGTCTATCCACTGACCAGATTCACACAATATGGACGTTGCCATGCTTGTGACTTTTAATTATCATAGGATGTCTTCCTACGTAACATGCAATTAAGTGATATTATGGTTTCAGTGGTTACAGCTGACATCAGCCCTATATCTGAACCATGCATATTGAAAAATATCTTATAACCTGTATATGTCATGTTTTGTAGATATAGAAAAGAAAAAAAACATACAATGCTAATCTATTGTTTATGCAAGATTAATCTGCTTGAATTGCAGTACTTATATATTCTGTATGTATCCCAGTTAAATCAAGGCAATTGCTTTGAATGAATGATTCCTCAAAATTGGGAGGATACAAGAAGATTTTCCTATAATATGAAAGTACTTTATATGTTTTACCATATATTACAACATTTAATTGAGAGATTTGATTCATTGTTTTTCAGTCTCTTATGTTTCTTCAGTAATTCTAATATTGTTCTAATACAAGTAATGTTTGTTACAAAAACATTTAAACACATAAAACAATTTTTTTTCAGTTGCATTGTAATAACACTATAGTACTCTAGTGCTTCTACTCTCCACCTCTAATACCATAATGTTTCAATTCTTTCTGCTACTACTACAATACTACCAAACTTATCCAGTAGTTTTTTTCAGTTTCTGTTTCAGTTTTCAGTTTCTCCCTTAGTATAATAAACCAACTAAAAGGTAAGCATTTATTCTGTTATAAAATTCCTTATGTCTTACAGTCCCAGGATGAGGGTGTCCTACATAGTCTTCTCGGCCAAAGCTGCTGTCATACTCCCACTGACCGGAGATAGGTACGTATGTCATTATTCTAGCATCTTCCCTTCTTAGCAGTCTTCCTTCCTCTTTCTATCCCGGATACCCAGTGTTTATCAAATGATCTTTGTTTGTGTTTTTTGGCTGGGCAGGACTGAGATAGACAACGGTTTGAAGATGTTGAGTCAAATCAAACCAGCAGGAGAAACTTACATGCACGAAGGACTCAGAGCAGTAAGTCGAGATTTGCTCAAAGGGAAGTGAGAAACTCTTTAGAATCTCATAATGTAATCAAAAACTCTTTATAATTTCTATTTTAAAATGTGAATACACTGTAATGGGTATTTTAAGATTTATTAATGACATTCTGGATAGAATTGAAGTCATACAGGAAACAGGAACTCGCCGGGATACACTCCATTCATCTGGTGTGCACGCTTATCCTCAAGTCACCAAGATGCTAAAGTGAACTCTGTGTGGCGACGAAACACACAACATATGTTTTTGTTTGTTTGTAATTTAGAACAATGAACAATTCAGAACATGATTTAATCTTTGCATGTTTGTGTTTGGATACCAGGTTTCAGATCAGATGAAAAAGCAAAGTACTCCGTCATCTACCATCATCATTGTTCTGACAGATGGGAAACTGGAGGTGTACCCTTTTGAACTCAGTGTACAAGAGGTATCAAGAACTAAATATGATGTACATGCATTTCATCTTATAAAATTAATAAAATGTAATAAAACTGCATTATGAAAAGACACAAACAAGTTTAAACCATTATTTAGCATAAAATAATGAAATAAGCCCCGTTGATGCTTTTAATAATGAAATTGCACAAAAAGGACCCCCAGTAGTTTTATTTATGCAACCAATTCCATTTGCAAACTTTGGGTAGTGTCAGCTGTTTTAAAAGTGCTCTCAAAGTAACCCCATGAATATAACTATACCTTGACCTATATATCCATAACAAAGAGTACCTTGTATACATGTGTACATATTAAATGTTTGAAATAATTACAAATGTAAACCAAATAAATATAACCTAAATGTAGGCCATGACCTCATTTGTTTTTCTCCACAGGCCGACAAAGCCAGAGGGTATGGAGCCAGAGTGTACTGCGTAGGTGTGATGGACTTTGACCACAAACAGGTAGCACGCTCTCCCTTTTCCTGCTTATACCTCTGTGAAAATAACCTCTTTCACTATTCCACTGATACTGCTCTGTGTCCAAACATGCGGCTAATATTTGTCTTTCGACGTATCAGTCACCTTACATGTGGTTACCATTTCAATAGACTGTTGTCCCTAACTCAGCGATTCAACAGAAATCAGATAACGGCAGAATACTATGTTCTTTTATTCATGACTTATCCAATACTTCCTTCCAGGGTAGTGAATAGTTTTCATGCATGTTTTGTATTCAACCAAACAGTAACAGACCTTGAAAAGATCCAGACTTGATGAAAAAAGTGGTTGGATCAAGATAATGTACCTCAAGTTAGTCCAATTTTAAACCAGGCGTTAAAAGGGAACTATCATTATGAATAGAACTCATATTATATTGTATTTAAAAATCAAGATATTTCCAAGCCACATCTGGAGCGTCTGTCTACTGTCATGCTCTGAATAGACAACTTTGTCATAAGGAATGAGTGAATAGCCTTCATGATGTAAACATGTGGAGTTCATTTTAAAATATGTTACATGGATACTGGAAAAACTCAAAAGTGATTCCTGAATTATAAGTGTATGCAAACTGGCAGCTCATATCCTACTTAGTCACCCTGAATTTTGTGTGTATGGTAAAAAAAAAACTCAACTTTTTTTAATCATTCAGAAATAACATTTATTAATATTTATTATCCGTTTACTTATCCATATCAATAACTTTTACTTTGTGAATAAATACAAAACAGCAACACAAAACAATGCTCTGTAATGTTAAAACACTTTTGCCCTTTTTTGCTTGTTTATTTAAAAATTGGTTTCTGTATTTATAGAAAATAGAAAAAAAATGCACCAATGCACATATTGAGTGACTTAAAAAGAGGAAAAAGAAAATTTCCAGTTATCATAAACTATATGCTGGCAAACAACAGCTAGAGCATCTGTCTACTGCCATGCTCTGAATAGAAAACTTAGTCTTCAGTAATCCCTCTACAGTGACAAGCCGTCATAATGTAAGCAGGTGGAGTTCATTTATAAAGAAGTTGCCTGGCTATTGAAAAAACTACTCAAATGTAATTGAAGGGTTTTCTGTTTTCTGTTGGAAACTAGATTTCCTGCCTCTGCATGCACATAGATATTGATACATTTAAATTTCAAAAGCACAGAGTAACAATAACTCAAAGATGTTTTGCACAGACCTATTTAATGTTTTCCATTAGTAACCCCTCTATTTAAAAAAAATTGTGAAAAAGCCAAATATTTCCATATATTTGCATAAAATGTAACAGTTGAGGTTCACAAGTCACTTCTCACTGACCACTCTGCTGTGCTCTGGGGAAGACGCTATTACGTTAATGAAATAATGCCAGGGCTAGCTTCCTGTGCAGCTGTCATTAGAACCGCACTTCAAAGCTCCATTATAGACCCATGGCTTTTATGTTTCTTTCCCTCCCTAAATACACATGCGTAGGCTGGAGACCTCCCATGTACTGTGTGGCAACTGCACCCAAGTATAAAACCTATATGTCCTTTAATATCAAACAAGTTCAAAAGTGGGGGTATTTATTTTGTCTTAACAGCTTGCAGAAATAGCAGACAACACAGAGCAAGTGTTCCCAGTGCTGTCCGGCTTCCATGCCCTTAAAGATGTTGTTAATAAGGTGAGTATAGTTATTATTGGTGAACTACTGTAAATCAACCACATGCATTTGAATCACATTTTTTTTCATCTAGATCCTCAAGCAAACATGCACAGATGTGTTCACCATAGAGCCTACAAGTGTATGTGTGAATGGTGAGTGGCAGACACATTGTAGAGAATACATCATAGATTTAATGCTGTTGTTGTCATTTGGCTAATAATTCAGGTATTCAGAGATAATGAAGGATTTTCTTTTAATATTGCAGTTCAACTCTCTGACCATGTAAACTGCAAACATATGAAGACTGCCTTAAAATAACCCAACATTTGTAACAATTCACACACTAAAATAAATTCAGGTTTCATTCAGGTTTTCACTATGTTGTAAAGTTGTTGTCACCTCATCAAAAACATACAACATAATCTTTTGTAATCTTGTAGTCAGAAGGAGGGTCTGTCATATGCTTGTCCCTGGGAGATGTTATTTATTTGCCAGGAATGTTCCACAGTATATATCTAACTTTTTTCCACGTTGTGTTTATACTTTAAAGGTGGATTGTATAACTTAACTAACCTGGTTGTTTCGAAGATATATAATTTATCTGCCTGGAATGTTCCAGAGTATGACATTAAAAAGCTCAACTTTACATTTATTCAGTTATTGTAGTTTTATAGCTCAAAAATATAGAAAAACAGGCATTCTGACTGGTGAGCGGGCTTGCATCTCTACAGATCTGACCTGTAACCTGGTCTAGTTTGGTAGAAAAGTTTAATATCATACTATGAAGCATTCCATACAAAGTGATAACATTTCCATGGAGAAAAGCATTTGGCAGACCTCCACTAGAAAAGTTTTTACAATACATCTTTACCTGTACCCTGTACTAGAAAAGTTGCATATTGCCCCTTTATTGTAAAAAAAAAAATAAAAAATACAAATGATGTGACAAATGCCAGAAAAATGCATAAACATATTTTTTTTGTCATCTTCCAGAGTCTTTTAACATTGTGCTGAGCGGGAGTGGCTTCAGCGGCTCCAAAAGGACAGACAATGTAGTGTGCACTCTCACCGTGGACCACAACACTTATGGTGAGTGCCCCAGCCCATTACACTTCACACATTCATCTTTATTACAGCTCAGCAGCAGACACTTTATGGTTTTTATAGATAGAAATTCAATTACAAGCACCCCTCCTCTATCCTTATCAAAGCTGCCAGTAGAATGCATTTTAGGATAGGCACATTGCTAAGGCATTACAAAGAGAAACAGTAGAGGAGTTTGTACCCTGAGACAGACAGGAGAAGTCTTTTATTGCCTACTGAAGTGAACAGAGGAGGCATTATGCATGTCTCAGTGTCATTAGTCTATAAACAGATCGATGGGAGGAGCCATTTCAACTCACAACACATGACCACACATTTCCCTTGCTTTTCCCAGTCTTACTTTGCTTGTAATCAGCTCTACTACTTGATCTTCAACTACTCTGTTTGTTTAATTAGGTTTTATGAGGCTGTTTGAATCCCTTTTCAAAGTTTTACTTTGAAACATCATTAACATGCTATTAAGATTATTCTTTTTAACTCAAGTGTTTCTGCAGTGTATACTTGTTTTATAAAGGATAGCAGTTGTAGTAGTAGTACCAGTAGTAGAGTAGTAGTAGTTGTAGTAGTAATACCAGTGGTAGTAGTAATAGTAGTTTCTGTAATGCCTTATTATTAGTACATGCATAAAGGCATTACAGAAACATCAATGGTCTTTGGAGCAAAAAAAACAAAAACAAAACATTATTATTGTGTACCTATTATATTAATTATTCTTTATAATGAAAGGTGCCCTATGTAACTTTTGGGTTGGGGGTTGCCTAGAATGTTCCACAATATGACATTAAACAGCTCTACCTTACATCTATTTAATTACAGGAGGTTTTGTAGTGCAAAAATACCTCGAAAAACATACGTTCTTAATGTGTGTAGGCCTTTCCACAGATCTGACCTGTAACTTGCTTTGATTTTGTCCCTATGATGATAGAGAAATTGAAAACCATACTGTGAAACAATCCAGACAAAGCAATAATGTCGCCATGGTTAAAAAAATCTGACGGACCCACCACAGGAAAAGTTATACAATGAGCCTTTAATTATTCTTACACCAGTACTGTAAATAATGCATACAATAAATGCTTCACTTTCTTTAATTAATTGCATATTTCTGAAACAGCTTGACACTTGCTCTATGGTATTCTTTGTCTCAGACCAGAAGCCGACCGTGGTGAGAGACGGCTATCTGCTGTGCCCTGCTCCTGTGCTCCATGAAGCTGGACAGTAAGACTATACAGACACCCCTACACAATGTCCCATTATACCACAACACATGGCCAATAAACACAGAACTGGACTGGGCATCTGCAGAGCCTTAACCCAATTACATCGCAGTTAGCCGATACTATAAATACAAGATGCCATTAAATTGTTATATAAGCATAGCTGCAGTCATTACTTTTCATATTTGTCATATTTTTGTGACCACCACAATAAACGCTAGCCACAAGTATGTTTATATTTATATTGGGTGGAGACTTCTAAAATGCATATTATTTTTATTACATGATGGTGTTTTATTTTTAGAATTTTAATTTTACAAGAGAGAAATTCTTCATCTCTCTTTCCTATATATACTGCACAATAATGATCATCTGCATGTGACCACTAGAGGGCATCATTAGAGTTTTTACTTACATAGCCATCCAAGACTATAAGCTTTTTCTATATTATACAAAGATGTGTAAATCCTATTCAAAAAGTTTTCAGACTGGATTTACTACCAAGTTTTAACCTTCATGATCCACAATTTCCATAATTTACTACATTATAACACTGTAACACATTGTTTTTCCATGTAAGTTCCCAGTATGACTTGGTAGTTATTGAGTTATTGCCATAATTTGATTCATTCCAGGAATTACCATTGCTTAATCAAATCAGGAGAGAGACTAAACACCTGAATTTCTTAATCAAAAAGAAGCATCCAAAGCACTCTGCATAATACAAAAAAATCTTGTATTCGACCAACTTTGAAGGACATGTTTTGTGTAATTACTACAGTTTTTAATTTATCTGAATGTGAAATGTTTGTTTATAAAAGGAATACAAATTAGAATCTAGAGTAAAACTTAGTGTGCATGAATTCATAGTGGCAAACATTTTTGTTCTGACTCCAAAAAGAAAAAAAACATCACCAAGGCACAAAAAGTATTCACATTTTTTACCATCCAAAATTAAAATACACAAATCTCTCTATTACTTTTTGTATTACCATCATGCACATGTGTTGCCTGCTGACAGAAGTGAGTCCATCATTTGCAGACAGTTTATCTTGAAGCCTCTGTGTTGGATAAAGTCCGACCAAAATATCTGTGTGGCATTTTTAGATGGAGCCAGAGCAGACCTATCACTCAGCCTCCCCCTTCTGTCTGTCTGCTCTCGCCTCATCACATTTCATCACATTTCACACACTGATCACTTATGGCTCTCAAAAGATAGCAGTAGATAGCCAACCAAACCAAAAGAATCGATATGAAAAAAAAAAGATTAACACTTTTGTATATGTTATATGTATGTGAGTGATGTATTTTTTTCAGATCTGTAGAGGTACTGGTTAGTTTGAACAATGGACAGTCGTACATCTCTAGTCCTATTGTCATCTATGCTACAAAATGTGTGAGTATCATCAATTTCATACAAGCAAACATTGTATTTTTAATATATCTTCTGAATTTAGTTCACCTATACATGCAAAATTGACTCTTGTGAGCTTTAATCCATATTATAATGCTTTTACCTCATCAAAAACATGCCTGGAGTTTTGGGTAAATTAATGTCTTCATCTCCAAAGGTCAAAATGCACTGTTCCACCTTGTGATGTCATGTAATAGTAGTTTTCAAGTTAACAGCCACCTTTTACATTTAGTTCAGAGATGAACAAATCCAGGGCTGAAATCATCTAAATGGTGCTAGTGAAGGTGTATTTAGATTAAAAACACAATCCTTTACATGACATCACAAGGTGGAACAGAGTGTTTTCTGTTTGAGCGAAAAACTAAATATGCAGAGTTTGAGTGTCAAACTTGTGAATGAAACAAAACAAAACTCCGAGTATGTTTTGATGAGGAAACAACATTATAACATAGGTCAGAAAATTTCAATGTCCATTTCAACACCATTTTCATTTCCATTTCAACACCACATTTCACTGTGATTTGAATGCTCCACACCATCAGGTTTAAATACATTTGAAAACTATTTAAAAACAGATTGTGATTGACTTGCCAATCTCTACTTGACTGCTGCACACATCTTCTTGACAACATTGGCAAGTCACTCGCAGTCTGTTTTTAAATACCTTTTGGCCACATCCTAGCAGAGCACCTGTAGAATACTCTCTTGGCCCACTGATGCAGTCATTTATTTTTGTAAACCACACTGCAATTTATTTCTTGAAGGTTTTTAAATGAATTGGTCACTAAATTGCCCAAAGAGTGTTATTGTTTTTGTCGTTATGATTTTTGCCTCATTGCTCTCAACTTTCTTGTTTAATTTACTTATTTACTAATGACTAAATAAATAATTATACTCACCTGTGTTGTCCACAGTCAGATGGGATGTGGGTGCTGTGGCTGCTGCTGGCTCTTCTCCTTTTACTGGCTCTGGTTCTCTTCTGGTGGTTCTGGCCTCTCTGCTGCACTGTGGTCAGTTTATGTTACCACTCCTATTTCTGTTTTCAGTTTATTTAAAGATATTTTATGCCAACTTAAAAAATATATATATTATCACAGGTGATCAGAGACCCACCGCCCTCTCGACCTCCTCCCCCTCCTCCACCTATTATTGTGAGTGAATTTTTTTGATCAAAATTTTTTATTCAGATTTGTGTGTTGGCTAATAAGACATTTATGGATAAAAAAAAAAGTCAAGATGTGTCTGTAGTTTATGTAGATCTAATTACAGTAGTTAACCTCACCACAAGGGGGCAGTAAAGGCGCATATGAAGTTTTAGTGCATGATTGTGGCTTTATGAAGGCACTTTATCTTTACAATTGCTAGATAGATGGTGGATGCTTTGACAGTAGTGGTATATAAGCTTGCTCATGTTATATTATTTCTGTGTAATTTATCTGTGATTTTTAGGAGCCAGAAGAAGATCTATTACCCAAGCACAAGTGGCCAACAGTGGATGCTTCATACTACGGAGGCAGAGGTGCAGGAGGGATCAAAAGAATGGAGGTACAGCTAAGAACAACAAAACAAAAATAAAATGCCATGTCAAAAAAATCATCATTTTAACAAATAGATGGATAATGCACTGAATTCAAAACCACACAATTGTTGCATTTGTGGCATTCAGGTGCGCTGGGGACAGAAGGGCTCCACAGAAGAAGGCTCACGGCTGGAGAAGGCTAAAAATGCTGTAGTGACCATGCCAGAAGATGTAGAAGATCCCATTATTCCAAAACCTCCACCAAGGCCCCCACCTGTGTATAACCCCCCTTTACAGTCCAAATGGTATACCCCGATCAAGGTATGTGTTTCACAAATACATTCTGATATTATCTTTATTTTTATACCACTTTCACTAAAATATATATATACTTTTTTTTTTGGTCTTTACAAACAATGACTGTAATTAATTCAAACGAACTGGATGTAGCCAGCACTCTGTTTTAAAAAAGGTATTACAATCAACTGAACCTGAGTTGCCAGTGATTTAACCTGTATTTATATGGAGTATATGGAAAGGCCATGCATCATGTGAAAGCACAGAATCCCCAAAATTCACTGACTGAGCTGCACAGGCTGCACTAGCACTCATTAATGATTGGGTAACTGAAAATGTCAACTGAAATGAGAGACTTGTGAGGCTCATTCTGCTTTGTAATTGGATAATCGTCTTGAGAGCCAACACACCAAATGATACCATAAATAAACAGGACATCATGTCCAGTGTTTGTGTAATTACGAATAAAACAGCATTAGCACTGTTATCAGTAAAAGTTCTATTTGATTTGAACATGTGTACATCGTATCTGGGGACACAGGTAGGTCAGGTTTATGACATTTAAAAATAAAACGCTTTAACACAGTTTCTTATCATGAAAGGCCCTTAATACTCAGACTAAATTCCTTGAATGTATACTAATACATTATGACGTTACTGGGTGGGTTTTCACAGCTGATATAAAATCACCTCATCTATTTTTAGGGTCGTTTTGACGCACTGGTCGCACTGCTGAGACGACAATATGACAGAGTTGCAATTATGAGACCAACACCACAGGACAAGGTAATTCTTCTCCCATCAGCATAATTATAGGCTGAACAGGCTCTGGTTTTATATTATTGCTACTCATTTGCTAACACCATATTTTTTCACCTAACAAATGCATCTTAAATTCTGTACGAAATGTTAAAAGATTATGAATTTTAGCTGAGTTATGAATCTTTTTTTTATGTTTGGTGTTGCTTTCAGGGTCGCTGCATGAACTTCACCAGAGTTCAGAGTCACTGATAGAAGTAATGACCGATGCCACTGTCATTCTTTTTGTGTGCCTTGTGCATTTTCACTGTGCTTTGTAAATAAATGTTTTTAATATTACGCATACTTTACTCCTTTTATCTTATTGTATTTTGTGCAAATTACTGAAAAAAGCAATGGTATGACATTATTTAAGATTGTTTATTCAAGGGAAAATATAGATTTCTCTTTTCACAAACACCTTCACTACAGGTACCCTGACAGGCGACACATATGTTACACAAAATAAAATATATAAGAACACTTAAAAAACAAGCTTTTTACAAACACACAAATGCATCACAAATCCACACAGGCTTTTCAAAGGGTCACAACATACATGATCACTTGAGATGACTGGAAAAGGCATGAGGTTCCTATTTCACTAATAGCATATATGTTTCATTCACACTTTTAACTATACATAAACTGGTTGAATTACAGTTTGTCTCATTGCCAACACACAGAAAAGGAGTGTCTGCAAAAATCATCAAAATGCGACAAAAGTGTGTATAGGCAACTGCACAAAACTATAACTAGTAGCTTACAAAAACAGAGCCAGCTAACCAGCAACAAGCTCATGATAAAAGTTTACAAAATTACATAAGGTAACACATTTTTTAAAACTTACAATACAAAATACAAATTAATACTGTTTAGAAAGGAGACACCCTCAAAGCAGGGATTGCCACAGTCTAGAATACTTTAACCCCATCGATGTTGTACTAGAAGTGCGTTGTACTTGCATGATTTGCTTTGAACAATACACAGTCAAAGTGCACATGGAAGAAATAATGTTGGAGGCACTGTTCACAAATAATATCTTGTACAGTAAATGTTTTATGCATACATTAACATAAATCGCTGATATTTAGCATTCTGGTATACTCTATATTTAGCTTCACCATAGACTAAAATGAGTGGTCAAATTTTGCCATTTCTGTGGAAACTTAGAATATTATTAGATGATAGAAAGCAGGCAAGACTAAAGCTATTTTTATTGAACAAAAAATGCAGCAGGTTCAAAAATGCCTCTTTGCTATTCATGAGTATCATCTTTCTGTTTATAGGCAATATACTGGGGATTTTTGACCATGCAAAAGATATAATTTGAATTGAAATTTTGAATTGTTAATTGCTATGGCAATGGTACTAAAAAATGGAAAATAATATTGAGCAATGTTTTATTTTTCCGTATGAGGTTTATGTAATTGTTAAGATGAATGTTGTGATAGAACAGTCTAGCGCTGCTGAAGCCACATTTGAGGGCCATCTCCTTCTGTTAAGTGCCTTTGACAGAGTTCGTGTGCAAAAAGCATCTCTGATAAAATAATACAGTCTTCTCTTGTAAAATCCTTTGTCTGAAAAACGTTCAGTCCTTGCAGATTTACAAGACAGTAAAGGGGTGTAAAGAAGATGCTTGGCACTGATTGAATACCATCGAAGATTGCGAAGTCAGTTAGCAGTAGTTCATCTCCACTGATATGAATGATGACTTATATAATATCTTGATGGCGGTAGCTGCACATCGGGTTTTATCCCAGTCCAAAATGTAACACTTGGCTTTGGGAATGATATACTCGGCAATATACTTTATGTGATTGGCAGTTATATACACTCTGCAGTGCAAAGCAGGTTGTCCTAGTTTAGGATCGGTTCTCCCTGTGCAGAAGGGAGGATCTGAAAAACACAAAATGAACAGATTCTTAGCATGTTAAGAAGTAAGTAAAACTGTCATTTTTTAAAATTATTAAAATCTATGCAACATCAACATGTGTGTCGTCATATTAGCTATGTGACTGATTTTTGTCCCCAATATCCCTCCTCCTTTTTCCAAACAAAGCAATATATAATACATGTAATAAAAACACACACACATAAGATCACCAAAACAAAAAAAAAATACATGTTGATAGATAACATCGCAAAATTAAAATAATAATTATAGCTTTCAAGTTTGTAATTATACCTTAGTGATCTCCTACTATCCTTCTCCATGTTGTTCTCAGGCCCTTCACTTTCATATGAAGCCAAATGTAGCTCTGTTGAAATAGATAAAACAATTAACCCTCTATTCAAAAGTATTTCAAGTTTTAGTTGAAGTATTTTGTACTAACCATCTTCACTGAAGACAGGAGTGGTGACCAGGTACTGCAGTACACGTCTGTCTCTCTCAAATGGACACACCACCTGACGCCAGACCAGGAACTCGCTCACTTGCTTGGCCAGCTCCCATAGTTTCTGTTCAGAGAGGAAGATAAAGAACTTTATAATGAGGCTAACAGCAATGCAAGTAACCCACCCATATATTGAAGTACTCATATTATTTATTAATGTATTAGTAGCAGTAAGGTATAATTCCTTATCTATATAACATTATGTCAACAGAGGATTTCACAATCCATATAGGTTTCTGCCACAAGGGGGAGCCATTGCATTTGCATTTTCTAACTTTGTGAGGCACCATTATTGTGACCACTTACATAAGAAGAGGCGTAACCTATTTTTATAGTGGACTATATATAAGTGGACTCACCTCAAAGTTGATGTGTCCATTTTGCAATCTGCTGGCACAGCCTTCATTTAGGAAGTAAATATCTTTGATGAGCAGACTGAAGAAAGGTATCACAATCTGAAATACAAGAGAGTAGTTTTTAAGTCCATGTTTGTCGTTACATAAGACTTGTCCGAAGCATAATCTGAACATGCTGACCTTTTCCTGACTGCTGTGTGCCGTCTCTGACCGTTGGGTGGCGCCACGGAGGGCAGTACGGTAGTTACTGAAGTTACTGGATGGGTCCATTTGATGCTGTGGGATCAAACAAAATTTTGAATGAATCAAATATTGTTATGTCTGGCTTTCAACTTTTCTTTCCCTTAAAGTCCAACTGTACAACATTTCAGTTAATAAACAGACTAAAATACAATATGGGAGACAGGAAAATGATGTGCCCTAATTAAGAGTTAGGTCTGTGAAGAGGCAAGCCTGCTCACAATCAAGGATAAGGTATTTTTGAGTAATAAAAACGCTGTACTGAAATAAAGACTTTATTTTAGTTTTATTAGCTTGAATGTTACACAGTTTGACTTTAAGTACATTTCTAGTCTACTAACCTCTAGTATGTCAAATTTATCGGTGTTGACTTTACTCCAGGTTTTCTTCAGCCGTGAGACAGGGCTCATGTTCATTCCAGCTACACAGAAAGAAGACATTGTTTTAATTTATTGTATTACAGGGAAATAAAATAAACTCTTATGGGGCTTATAATATCCTGAGAACTGAATGCGCTCCAAGGAAAGCTCTTGTCTTCTACTTACTGATGATTGCCATGAGGGAGTTGAAGTTGCCAATGTTGAAGCACTCTTGCGCCACATCGATGAAAAATTCTATGATGCGCGCCCTGTGTTTCTTTTTAGCCGGCTGCAATCAGATTCAGAAACAAGCTCTTGTCAGTAACTCATCTTGTTTGGGTTAAAAACATTGCATAAGATTCTAAAATGGAGGCAGACGGGCGTCATACCATGCAAATCTCCGTGGCGACGAGGTAACTGAGTCGGTTGAACCAGTTGACGTAAGCCTCCAGGTTGTTGGTTTTACGCTTACGGAAAAAACCCTGGAAATAGACACGGGCTATGAGTAAAACATCACATTTATTTGGCTACTATGTTTAAGCTGGTCGTTTATGTAAATGAAACACACTGGCGGGGGAGTAAGGCTGAACTGCTGACTGAGAAGCAGAGGTGGCAGTATTCTACTCTCAAGATAAAGAAGATTTTGTTTAATGAATTTTTATTGTCTGCTACTATTATCGACAACCACAGAGTCTACTACAACAATTAGGCCAACTACTACTACTAAGTGTCTAAGTGGGTTAATTGTCTTGCCCAAGAACACAATGAAATGCACTGTGGGCCAAATGCAGTACCTGAACTACTGCTGTCCCCCAACTACTCTTACTACTGCTTCTACTACAGCTACTCCAAAACATGTTCAGAAAATACACTCAACTATGTATACCCTTTGAACCCAAATAATACTTTAATAACAAATAATACTTCAGTGTTGAAATACAAACTGCTTTTCCCTTCCTCCTTCCAACCGCAAAACAGCAGTCCTGCATTGGAGTCGGGCATGATCTATCTTGTATTTCCATCTCATTTACATATGCTCAAGCCTGTTTTTGCGAGCCTCAGCTGTTAGGCGCAACCTGTTTGGCTGGGAGACTTTTATAAAACATTATTGGGGGAACACAATATAAATAAACTTGACCGAGCAGTTATGATGTAATCCGGGAGATTCATGGCTCTATTAAAAGCTTACACAACACAGCGGCCCACTCCATTCCGCTCTCTCAACTTCCCTTGTTGCACTTCTGGACCCCTTGCATTGACTCAACCACTTTTAAACAAAGTGGGTCTTATATAACTGCCCGGACATCTTGCTAATGTTAACTCCCCACAGTTCTGATAGAGGAGATGCTTCAGCTGACAACATGCAGGAACATTTAGAAGCTCTTTACATATACTTAGAACATGAGCACAATGGTACTTTGATATGGCACTTGGTAAATGTTCAAATGCCCAGTCTAAAAGTACTAAGTGAAAATCTGTGACAGTTTGACAGTGGGTGTTATATGTGACAAATGCAAGCAGTAGAAAGTGGCCTTCTAGGCATTTTAATACATCGTAACTGTCTGATTCAATCTTACCACCAAGGTAGTAATATGTGATTAAAGATGACGCAATAAAATATAGCTTTTTTTTAAAATCACAAGAACTTTAAAATAGCAAAAATGCATGATTTAAAGGTAAAATGTTATCTTTAATTGTAACCTGCTGACTTACTACTAAATAACTTACTAGCTCACATAGCGACAATACAATATTTTTGATCAAATACAGCTGATCACATCGTATAGATATGGTAAAGTTTTAAAAATGTGTTTTCTTTACAAATTTATTTCGTCTACTATTATGGCCTTCCTTCTTGACCATATTAGTTGTGTGGCCTTATGCAATGTTCTAATTCTGTGTACGGAGATGGCTTCGTTTCACCACAAGATAAATCCCAGTTAATCCCTCTCTAATAGACAGTGACCGGTCTAATCCTTTGTACAGAGGTAAAATATCATGTCTCGCCGGCCATGCTTATGCAATGAGTCATTAAAGCACAAGTACCTTCTGGTTCTCTAGAGGGTCCTTCATGGCAAATGTCTGAATGAACTCCTCAGGGCCGATAAAACTCAGTCGATCCTGCAAGAGAAAACAAAATAAAGAATATTGTGAGTACAAATGCAGAAATCATAGGGGGGTAGTTCTTACTGTTGTAACATTTTTGTTACTCTCGACACTGTAAGTCTGCAAGCTTAATATTTACAAAAAATATTTCTTGCACTCCTCCTCAAAATCTGATACTTGTAAAGTTTTGTTGTTCCAGTTCCATTAACGTCAAATTATACATCGGATGTTGCGTCTAGACATTTTGTTGCATTTGTTGCATTAGACTCTTACGGTTACTTTTACTTGGAGTAGTTGAGGTAGTTTCCCCTTTTTTTGTCTTAGGCCACTGTATTGGACTTTAACTTAAATAATATATTTGAAAGCAATAGTACATAGTACAATTTCAACTACTCTATCCACCACTTGGAGTAATAAAGGCTAAGTATAACTAACAATACCGTGCAGGCAACCATAAAAGACCACACAAATAGGTTATGAGAAGAATAGCTGTAAACCCAAATAATAGCAAAGATAAAAGTGAATGAACATGATTTAACATAAGCTGTAAACATCTGAACCAACAGTCATGTGAACTGTATTCGCCTTCTGTGCACTACAAAAAGAGAGCTTGCCAAATGTAGCTACACTAATTAAAACCCCTTGTAAAATGCAACCACGCACAACCACTTGACAGCAATGCAGGAGAAAAAAGCAAAACAAAACATTGAAAACTGGATTAAAAAGAATCTCTGAGTGAAGTGGTTTTCTGGTTTAGCCTGTAACCATCTTACCAGCTCGATGTGCGTGAGCTGTTGTGCCAGGACAAAGGGGTCATCGCACACGCTCAGTACGTCACTCCTCTGACCCGCGGCCTGTTTGGACTTGAGCGAGGTCGGGCGCTCCAGGGCCACGTTGTTTAGGGCCGCCACCGCCTCCTCATACTGCCCCAGAGCGGACAGACGCTTGATAAGCCGCTGTGTCATCTGCTGCATGGCTCTCCAAGAATACTGCAAGGAAAACGTTCAGAACAAAAAAAATATGAAACTTTTGTGGTGAAACAAAAATGAAACCCCCAGGTAAATTTACTGTAATGTACTGTAAATATATCTCTGTTATCTAGGAGTTACATAATTTCATGTTTGAATACACAGAAACAACTTGGTTTGAAAATATTTTGATAAAGAAAGAAAAAGAGAGTATAATTTCTTAATAATGATTAGGATGCCACTGCTTTGACTAATTTAGCTGTGAGTGTGAGTGTTTTAGGCAGTGTTTTTGATGAGGAAACATTACAACATGGTTGAAATCTCTTTGTAGAATATAAAATGCATAAACATGTATGGAAATATTATGACTAAATAACTAAATATCTCTCATGGAATATAACACTGACCTCGTCCCCTCTGGCCACATGGTTGGTCATGTCTTTGAGACATCTCATCATCCTCTCGTCTCTGAAGTCATATGGAAAGGTCTCAGTCCACTCAGTGAGGAGCTGCACCAGTTTAGGCGCCACCTCCCGGAAACGGATCTAAGAGAGAGAAATCATATACAAGAGGTCAGACAGTCAGTCAGGTGGTGTGGTAATGCTCAGCTACACGGGCTGGAGGGCTGTTCTTTACACTTGATTTAGCCCCATGCAAAAGATGTCAAAACAACTAGTGAAGCAGAAATCATATCCATTAATGGCATTTGGGTTGAACATGCATCTCATGACTTCAGTGTTCCGTAGAAGTAGATGAACTCAGTAATCTAACAGAGGTACTGCAAATTCAAATTAATTATATTCTACTCTATGAACACTAAAATGCAAAATACAAAGCCAAAAACAAAAATCTAAAGTAGGAAATCTATCTCTGCTACTGAAAATAGTATTTCTTGAACAGTAAAGTATTGTTAGTTCATTTTTTAGACTATGGGGCAAGCACGGACTTCTCCATTACCACTGCAATATGTTGCGCTACTTTAAATCTACCAAATAAGACTCTCTTTGTATTTGTGTTACTTGTTGAGCTAGCCTAGTCATGTTGAACCTTCATAGAACACTTAGAAAAACCAAACAGATCTATTTGTATGGCCGTGGGTGGGAGTGCATGTGGGTGGGTAGCCAAATCACTGAAAGAGCACAGTTAATTACCAAACCCTGCGAGTACTTGTATTGTGAGTGGACCATGATGAATATACTGTATAGTCTGTCAACTGATGTTTTTTCTTTATCTAATCTTAGATGTATGTACTACCTTATCAAGCAGCGCGTCCCCAGACCGCTGCTGCTCCACACAGAGGTGGCACACACGGGTCATGAGCTCATACGGGTGCAGAAAGAGGCGGGAGCTAAGCAAGAAGGTGAACACATAGGATCTCTGTGAAACAAAACAGAATCATGGCGTTATTAGTTATAGCATACTGTCCTCGAATATCAAAAATATAGCTTCATGTATTATTTGAAGATGTTTTTCAAGACAGTTAGCTCACCAAAATGAACACACATTTGCAAAATAATTCTGTCAACTGGACAAACGTTTTTATGTGTGAATATGTTTGACCACTCATCTACCTTCTTCAGTTCTGGCAGGGTTTTGGTATGTCCCGGCCTTAAATCTGTCTTTAGGAAGAAGTTATGTACATGGAAACTAACACACCCTAATAGTTTATAGTAAGAAGTTTCTGTCATCAGTTAAGTCCATTGAACTAGGTGTGAACCTAAATGTAACCTGAGTCATATTTTGCATGGATTAAGCTAAAAACAAGATTTGCCTCTGACTTATCTTGCATTGTATTGCTAGCTGGGTGAAGCCATTCATGTGTCTGTCTATTATCCTCTGTTTGACATTTTAGTGGAGGCAAAATGAGTATCGAAATAGCCAGAACATGTAAAGTGATTGCATGTCAACAGAAAAAAATTGCAAATGTATATGAAAGTATGCTTTAAGTAACAGACTTGAGAAAGCGCTATTAAACTGGAAATAGCTAAAATTGCAAAACACTTGTCACACACTCACATCTGGATAATAGTCCACCGTGGGCACCAGGTGTTGAATCAGCGCCTCCAGCGACGCCGACACCAGGCTGTTGTCATGGTAACACATCTCCCCGTAGCTGGCGATGACCCCACCGTGCCCGTAGACCCTGCTTTTTGGCGGCGCCGAGTTGTTATGGCATGACTGCTCACTGCCGCTACTGCTGCTCCGGTACGAGCCACGCCCATGAGAGGAAGTGCCACCATGTTGCCTGGGGCTGTGGGGTGACACGCATCCGTTGTTGTAGTGGTGATTGTTGGTGGTGGTGGTGGTAGTGGTATTGGATGATGACAAAGAAGAACTACGGTACGACGTATGGGGGATATCGTATGGGTTCTCGGTCGCCACGTAAGCACAGTTGTAGATGTTTTCCTGGGTTTTGGTGCTTGGCTTGGGCGCGGTGTTGCTCCGGTATGGGCTGTGGGGTTGTGGATGGTGGTTGTTGTTGCTGCTATTGCTGGTGTAAGGGCCACAGGAGTTGAACTTTCCGGCGTAAGGAGTAGTGGGAGGCATGATGACCTGTGGAGGACATGGAGTAGTCATGAGTTTGGTGCATCAGGAACATCAGCATGACCGTGAAACTATGTAACTGCTGTGTTGTTGAACTAGGTTACCATGTTCACAAGTTTGCAGCCCAAAACATGTTGCAAAATGGCAAGATAACAACAGCGGAATTAATTCTGAAAATACTTATCAGGAGGTTAAAAAAATACTAACTTTAAGTTTCTTTGTGAAGGCCTGTAGCTGAATTTCTAGATAGTATAATGCATTCAACACCAATCCTTCTTCTTACATCTTAAGTTCCAAACAAACACTAACCATCTTAATCGAGAAGAAACAGAAACTTGTTTTAAAGTAGCCTAGACCAGCAGGAAATTTTAAGTGAACTAAAAGTAGCCTTTGAATCTGATGCATAGACTCGCTATGTTTACTTTTAAACACAGCTAACAGTGGTTTACAATTGCTTTTGTTTCATTTGCTAGTTGTGGTTATCTGTTATAATAGGAATAGCACGGTCTAACTTCACCACCCAAATTCTATCACAGTTTACAGTCTTCAGTTTCACTAGACAAGGGTCTTCTTGTTTGGATGTGTTACTTAACATCATGCAATCTGCAATGTGACTACCCACAAATCCAATCTGTGGACTAGTATGCGTGTTACTTTACCCCTTTCATTCAATATTACACTTGGCTATCTCACAGTATACACGGCATTACACTGTGTACTCTCCAAATCCACATTAAGGAATACACAACATTGACTTCCTCTAAGACAATTTGTTCCCACAGCATCAGTTTAAGTAGAACACTGCAAAAAATAAATAGGTCTATATTTACAGTTTAACTTTGCGGCACTTGAACTCGTTGAAACTCGTAGACTACTAGCTGAAATACTTTACAGGTGAAAGTTGAAATACTTTATGTATATTTTACTTGACTTGTTTGATTGTAAATATACTTATTTTAACAGATTTTTCAATTCAATTCAATTCAATTCAATTTTTTTTTGCAGAAAAGAGTCCACCACCTGCTTGTCCCATGTCTCATGTTATAGGTTTGCCTAAAATGTTCCACAGTATGGCATTTACAGGTCAAGTTACAAGTCAAATTTGTGGAGAGACACCCCCACACCCAGTAAAAATGCATGTTTTTTCTAAGTATTTTTGAGCAATAAAAACATAAATAAATAATTCAATGACTGCACTAAATAAATAAACCATACCAACAATACTGAAACAAGCAGGTAGTAAATCCCCCTATGTTACATAGTTTTTCAGGGCATAAAACTTCTACAACTGTTACGTAATCCACATAAATGTTAAAAATCACATCACTTCAGCTAGCAATATAGTAGTTTATCATATGCTGCTGTGTACAGTGCTCTGACTCAGCCACTCTGGGAACGCGAGACCCAAACAAACAGTAACATGTTGTGAAAATACGTGTTGATATCCGCGCACATATGTGTCATTACGTCTAATCACATAATGGTAGCCCTCCTCTGCTCCCTCCTCACTTTGAGCTTTTTAATGACACCCCTTGTCATATTGACTTTCCCTTTTACGCCAACAATGCACCCAACAAAGAGCGTGCGGTGGCTGGTTTATGGGTGCATCTGTCATCTGTTGGACACTTGTTTTGCACAGAACAGACAAGGTGGGGGCGACAGATGGGTGAGCCTTAGACCGCTACGATTTTTAGTCTTAATGGTGTAGATAATTGGATCTGAGGGAAAGCCGATACCAGATCAGAACCAAAGCATGCTTTAACACTGGAGCCACCTTTATCCGACTACTGTTGTTTGTCTGCTAACCACATGCTGGGGTAAGGCGAGCCAGACAGCCCCCATGCCCCCCAACACACATACAGTAAGTATACATGCACTGCTCTCTGCTAATGTTGGCACCACATAAAAAGTACAAAGTAAGTAATTCTAATTCTGAGTTGTAGTTTTGGACATTTATGCAGACTCCAGCAGCAGTGATTCATAGAGCTTTTAAGGTACCACTGGGACCATCCTCAAGTGTTTTTTAGGCATTTTGGACGACACGTTCTTATAATTCATAACCCCTTTACTTCAATAAAATCAAGTTTAACTTAACTGGTCCCCTAAGGTGGAACAGTGAGCAAAAATCAATTGGCTATATATAAACAACTAATGTTTACTAACTAACTAACTAACTTAATGTTTTTGGAGGAAACAAATGCACATTTTAAAACATGAAGAACATTTTTAATCTATACCACTGGGCTATGCAATTAATACAGTTTTTATAATGTGATTTCTAAGTTTTAAAAGATCATCTTGGATCTCGTTAATTGAGAGCTCTACAGCTAATCCTCTATTAAAGCATTTGGTTTGAAGCCAAATTCAGACTCTAGAAGAAAAAGAAAACTTAAACTAATTAATGTGTATAAAAGTGTGTAATGTTTATGTTCAATAAATGAATACTGAAAGCCATATTTAAATCAAGATCAATCAACATAAGAAATCATGATTTTTTTGTTGCATCGTCAAGCCCTACTACACCATCTTTGCTCTTATTTACCAAGAGTGCCATTATTAGTGAAGGCAACTTATGCTCACACTGAGACGAAGTCAGCAGTCAACTTTTGTTTATCCATTACAGCACTGACGGAGGGAGTGCCAACATCTTAGCCCATACACACACATACACGCCCTAGTCTACAATGGCGCCAAACCCCAAGCCAGAATTTCATCCAAATGCGCGTCTGGCCTAAACAAGTGACACGCACAGATGTATACCACCGCGCTTGGGCCCTCGCCAGAGTCCAGCCCAGTGCCAGTCTGCCTTCTGAACCCTCTGATCCTCCCCGGCTGTTCTCCTTCTAACGTGGTTAAAAGATTACACTGGCTTATAGATTCAATCCACCAACTTGGGAGAACTCAGGTGGTCCGGTCCAAATAATTTTTTCTAATAAATTGAGTTTGAAAATGTCCTCTTTCCTTACCTCCTCCATGTGTCTGTTTACATCTGACCTTACATAAGTGGGGACGTATCCAAAACTTGAAACCTCTCATGGTTTTTTCCGATTTCCTCAAGCGCTGACCCAAATACTTGCGGCTTTCCTGAAATTTTAGCCCACTAAATCATAGGTTGGGATTGCTTCGGATGGCTTAATAATGATACTGTATGCATTCTTACATAGTGAACGCATTGTTTACATATGGACTGTTTGTGAATGCGAAAGGACTGCTGCTCTAGAGTGGTACAAATCTGAAATGTATGGTTTGAGATTTCTTGAATATAAGAACAAGTACCAGTACCAATGATATTTTCTGAGGTATAGTCAGACCTGCTCAATGATATAGTTCATCATAGATTAATAATTGTGGTCAGAGGATATTGAGGTCGGAAATGTGGGAAGAAGCCTTGAGGACAAGGGTGAACAATTTGGGGAAAATCCATTTGAGATATTTCAAGCAAGAATTGTGATTAGATTTGTGATTTGTCTTAATAATAGGACTCTGTTCAAAATGTCAAACCTGTCAAGAAGAATTGATAAAAGGATGAAATGACAAACTAATACAAGAACCATATTTCACATCAACATATTTGTACAGGTCTAAACAATAGGTTAGTAATTTTTATACAGAATAAATTCATATTTTTTTTATTTGTGGAGGAAATTATGGTACATAAAATTGAACCCTTTGTGTTTTGCCAATTACATCCATTCAAATGTTGATTCTGTTTCAACTGCGATTAATCTTGCAGCCTTACTTGAGAACTAAAGAGGATTTACAAAAAGGATGTTATAAAAAAGACTAGTCCAGGAAGTTAGTTGGCTTAAAAAATTAGGCTGCTGAGAACTTTAGTTAAGAGACAATTTCTGGCATATAAACTGGGAGAAATCAAACTTTATACAACAACAAAAAAACCTCCCAAGGCAACAACAACTTTTCAATTGCATGCTGTTGCTTTGTTTCTAAAGTTGTGCTGAAATCCAAATAAAATCTCATGTGTTAAAAAATAAAACTGCCTGAAGCGGATAAAAAACCCAACACAGTTTATCAAAAGGTTAGGACTAATTGAACTTTTGACAGGGCTGCAAGCAAAAATCTGTTAGAAAAAACTACTGTAACATATCCAAAATGTTTCAAAGCATCTCATCCAACACACACAAATTGGTGGTTTGGGCAGCGCTTTGGTCTCAGTACTACTGCATGTGAACGCTTCCTTTTGTCTGGTTTTGGTTAAAATGGGAAAGGTTTAAGAGCTTCTTTGGAGATTTCCCAAGCCTGACTGGAATAAATAGATTGGGGTAATCACTGGTGTTCATCTAAACGCTTTGTACTTCACTCTTCTTTCTATCGTGTGAAGTGACTAAGTCTTTAAAGTCCAATCTTTATTAGAAAGAGAGAGATAAAACTGGATGTAAACAGTTTGTACCCAAATTCGCATTACGTGGTCTTCAAAAGGTACGCCCTGCTATCTGAAGCCAGTGGAGGGGGGAGGGACGAGAAGGAGAGAGGGAGGGGGGCAGTCCGTCAACAATAGACGTATTATCTGGCCTGTCATGGCTTTAACAACCGCACAAAGACCCCTAGGAGGAGATCACAGGGTGTTTGCGGTACATCAGACGGGTACAGCAGCTTTTCCCCAGAACTCTGCTCACCGTCGGGCACAGGGTTGCCTCACCTCCACAGACAGCCAGCCTGGGAGTGGAAGCATGCACCAGTCACACCATTAAACCCGGTCCCTCTTTACAGCATGGGGTAAGAGGGAGGGACCACAAGAGGGGACAATGTGGCTGCAACCGTGTAAAATATGACTGCAGTGATCCAAGTGATACTGAAAGTAGCATGTTGAGCCAGGGAAAGCACGTGGTTATTTGGAAATGGGGAAGGACAGTTTTGTTTTGGAACATTTACAGGAAATGATAAAAAGAAAGTTTGAAAAAAGTGATTTGGGAGACATGTTTGTTGCCATCTCTTCAAGTGGACTGTAATAGGTAATTAAGGGCAAAATTACTTTATCCCGGATATTAGAGTTTATGACTGATTAGGTTCAACTTTTTCTAATGAAAATATCACAGAAGGTCACAGTGGTACACCATTCTCACAACATTAACAACTTGGAGTGAGTGGTCACTATGACAGGTGATCCTGACAAAAGTTAATACATATAGATTTGTTCTTAAATTAACTCATTATATTCACACCATATTATTGGCAAAAACTGAGCTAAAACCTCCCTGTAAATGTCTTTGTTGAGTATTGTTACCCTGTAGTCATTACCAAATGGTAGACAACAACTCAAATGTGTGCAGCGGAGGTGTTAAAAACAACATTCAAAAATTCAAAAGGGTGTTATTTCTGGTCTGAACAAGCACAAACCAGCATTCTGTCTATATAACATGTTCTGTGACAGTTAACAGCTAACTTACTTATTCCAAATTCAAAGCCAGTTCACCCAATGAGCATCTCAAGACCCCATGTCCCCCCTGATGAGGACCAACAAGAGACACTAAAGACAAGATTAACTGAACTACACAAACTAGCTTTTGTACGTCCTAATGAAATAACCAGGTAAAGCCCCTTGCGAATATACTTTCTTTCTTCACAGCGGGGGAGAGCAGCACAGAAACAAAGCTGTGAGCAGGAGCAGTCATCCATGGAGCTATCTACACCTGATAAGAAGACTCGTAAAGGGCGTTTATCACAATAGTTATGGGCAGACGTAATCCAGCCATATCTGTTCCTCTTTGCACCCGGTGTACTTTGGCTCTAATAAGTCACAGCGTGTTAAAGGAATGCGAGGGAAGCCTGTCAAGATCAGTCCAAAATAAATGAGGTTATAATATAAAGTCTAGACACTCACTTACTCATGCTTTGCAAATATATAAGAAAAGCTGGATGAACAGAAGCTTAAATGGTGGTTTTTGCAACAATCTTAATAGGCTATTGCTTCAGTTTGTGGATTTTTATGGTATTTTCCAGAGCTAGACCAGCCAGGTGAGCTTGTTTAAACATCAGGTGTGGTGCGTTCATGGCATGCTGCCTGTAATTACCTTTGGCTAGATCAAATGAGACTTACTAGGCTTATTTTCATTGTAGTATGAATGTAATCCTCCTACAAACCATTAAAATGCATAATCAACTATTTAATAACAGGGGCAGTGAATGATGCTTTTAAAATTTTATGTCGATTAAAAAGGGTATATAATTTAGCAATATGCATGTTATTATAATTAAGGTAACATGTGTAGAAATCTTTTATATCTCTGATCTTAACATGAAATTAGCAAATTAATTTTGATACTGTGCCCAGATACAATGCCAATTTCCTCTCCACTCAAAAGAAATGAATGACAGCCAAATGCTCAGTACAAATGTTACCTCCAGATGTTGTTTTGTTCTTGTTCGTTGTCCAAGCATGACAGCCATCAACCCAAGTGTTTTTGGATGGTTTACTGCAGTCTTAAAGCATCATTACCCATAGAATCCTTTAGTCACAGTGACATCCCCACCCATCATAACTAATGCCACTGCAACATAATACAGTCCAAGTGGTCATTGTCCTTGGTGTACACCCTTAAGGCCCATAGCTGTTGGGATAGGCTGCTTCCCCTTTTCTTAACAGGTAAAAACAGACAGTAGAAGGATAATGCAGTTATAATTCTTTACATATTGCCTTTATGTTAAGAGATAGCCAGTATTTTAAGTTTAAGAGTAATTAGTTTAAGAGTTATTATAACCTATATTTTTAGTAATGTCAACTCTATGTGAATCTTGAGAATATTTTGATAATTACTGACTATGAAAAACCAAAAATCTCAGTTTCTTAAAGGGATAAGTGTTTTCATATTGTGTTGATTTTAATGTAAATCACTTTGATCCCCACCTTGGAATGTTGTAAAGGGCTTTATAAATAAAGCTTGACAGATTGACTCTGCATCCTATGAACAAATAATTCCTATTATAAAACTGTAATTGACTTTTCCAGGCGATACAATTTGAATATTTCTATGACTTAACAAAACATGTTAAAACAGATTTTAATTTAATCAGCACAATTAGGTCCAAACCTGTTTTTGTTTTGTTTTTCTTCTGCAGCCTTTTTTACAAGACAGCAGGCAGCCTGTCACCTGCCCACACAGCTAAACCAACGTAGCAGCGGGCAACATCGCAAATCACTCCTGACTCCCTCCACTCTGCGCTGAGTGTCATATGTGGCATGCGGCCATTGTCCAAACATCAGCTGTCAAAGCGCCCAGACTGGTCCTCAAACCTGCCTCTATATCTACAAAAGACGTGAAAAAAAACAAAACAAAACCGGAAACACTGCACAGTATCTGGATGTGATCTGACCCACAACTCGACCTGTTCCCGATGTAAAAGGAAACCAAACAATGAACACACACCTGTCCCTATGTGTTATGCACTGCAGGCTAGTACAGTATTAACCCAGAGCCAGAAGGGATAAAGAGCCACATTATCTCCTCTGCTGCTGGGATGTAATCAACTAAGCTGATCTACAGGCCTGGGATCCACACACAAACATTTTCTATTGTGTTTCAGCAAAGCAAACAGTGTGCCCTGACTACGTGTGTGGTAAATTACTTGTAATAAACCCCAATATCCACTTTTTAAGAAAGTCAAAGCTGGTTTCGACATGTTTGGATGTGCACCTAAATCCAGTTAGTCAAAAGTTTAGTGTCTGTGTGCCAATCCAAAATACATAGTGACAGAGAGACTGTGATAGGAAGGGCATCTGACATAAAACCCAGGCAAAATAGAATGTGAAGAAGCAAGGGAGACAGGGAAAACTATGTGTTCCAATGTGCTCTGGTATCAGTGTCAATGATTTTTTTTCAGAGATGTAACCTTTGAAATTGAGTCCTTATCATATTGAATTAGGTCTTTTCTGATTACAGCAAGGGCTTTCAATGACCAGAAACATTTTTCATTTACAAAAATGAAACCAAAACCGACTGAAAATATACCTTTACCTGTGACGACCACAGGTGTTTGTGTATTGTTGTTGTCACTTTTATACCCCACATTACAACATAAACATAATAAACTTTAGCCATAGCATATCCATAACATGTGACTGACTAGCAAGCTCAAACTAACAAATCCAATCAAACGCACAAATGTCAATGAAGCAAAACAGTGGCGCTTCATCTACTCACTGTACTTGGCACACTACGCTCCGTGTATCTTTACTGCCAAAAAATCTAGACTAGAGTTTTGCCAGTTGCTGGGGGACCTCGCATTGCACTTGTGTTAATTATTAAATGAGCTAAGCACTTAATCTGAGACCATTTAAACAACTTGTCATGAACCAAAGTACAACCCCAGCATTTACGCACAGCACGCACGTCATGGTTCCACTGGTTTTCATTTACAGATGAAAGCCTCTAAAAAGCTTTTTAAATTCCACTTGGCTCAGAGAACACACGCTTTCTCTCATGCTTGCTCTTCTCCCCACAGACAACCGCACAATCTGCTATTTCCCCCCACTGTACTCGCACAAACACGCCGATCCACAGAGCCTGTAGTGCGCTACGGGTTCCTGGCTGAGTCATAACACTGTAAAAGTAAAAAGTGACTGCGAAAACCCATGCTGGGCAACCGCAACCCATCGCAGGTGCTGGTGAGTAATGTTTGTTTTTGTCTGTCAGCCAAACTAATTTTACCCTCACATGGGAACAAAACAAGAAAAATAAACAAAGGTGAGACGAGAAATAGAAATAGTCCAAGTTGGATAGACTTCTGCGTTTGTCCAACGTTGAATACACAGTAATACATTGGATTCCGGAAAGCAATATTGTAATAGGCTACACTTGTCCAAACCAAGCAACATTATAACCAGTAGGTATGAAACTTTACAGCAAAGAAACATCAAAAAATATTTATAAATTTAAGTTCAACACGACCGATGCGCATTTGGATCTCGCATGGATCGCGTTTGAATGAAAACTACAACAAATTCCCGGAACAACCTACCTCTGGAATATTGACAGTATGACCGTTCAGTGCCCGAAAGCAGTCTTCAAATGAGCAAAAGGTCGCAACTATCCAAAAAAGTGTCCCGTTCGCAGTTACGTCCGCCTTGTTTTCCTTCTTCGCTTCTGCGTAAAGCGGTGGAAAACAAACCGAGCGTGTCTTCAGTAGTGAGTAAATGCGGTCTTGCGCTCCATTGTGCCTCCCTCTGTGATATTTGAGTCAATTTGAACTCACAGCGGTGTAATGAGCCACAAAGCGAGGCGTATTCAAATGACTACCACAGAGCCGGGAAAACTGGCCAACCGCGGCGCAGAGGTGGGTACCTTAAGGGGCGGCTCTCACCAATGGCAGCGGAGCAATGGGAAAATCGAAGACAACTAAATATGTGATTGGTTATCCTTCACTAAGTCCCTCCTTTCTCTTTTAACCGCAAACTGAGAGGGAGCAGCTCATGTTTTTGTTGGAGTGCAAAGATCTGAAAGGTATAAGGTTTCTACTTTGGAATGCATGCGGCTATAGACATACATTTGTAAGAAGAGGTTAATTTCATCATTGTTGCTTAGTAGGACAACATTTAGTACTGTGGTAACTTTAACACCATTAAAAACATTTGCTAACAGATCTACAATCAAGCAACAAATGGTACTGCTGGACATTTGCGCTTGTCAAACATGGTGGTCCAGACAGTTTATCACCATTTGTATTTTACTTGTCTGCAGAAATACTAGCCAGACCCATTTTTTATTAAATTTAGTGGAAGATGGGGGCCATGTGTGCAGTGCATGGCTGAGGGGCCACTATAGGTCTTCATTTCATAACATAATTGTGTAAGGCAGTCAGGGGCGTGTGCAGCAGGCAGCATGCTCCTTCAAATCTAGGTCAAATAGCCACTGTCAGATCCAACTCCCCAGATCGTCTGCTGTAAGCATACCTTACATTTCATCTGATAAAGTTATAGAAGACTTGATGTAAGATGTAGGTACATTGTATTTATTTCTGGCATTTACATCACCTTCAACATCATTCTATATTGGCCTTAATTAACAACAGACCAGCAGAGAAAATTTAGTAAAGTTAAATAAAACCTAAATAGATTAAATCAAGTTGTTCATAATCAATCATAATGTTTATATGTTACAGTCATGGCACATCAAGACATTTTACTGTGATTACTACTAAGTAACAGAACCTACAGACTGTGTGGTGAGCGACTGTAGGTTTAGAGAGTTGATACTCAAGAATAGCGTACTTTGAAAATTTATTAAAGTATCACTATAGAATCTGAAATTTCAATACATTTAAGCACAACAGTTATTAGAGGCCGGCACTGGATAAATTACACAGGAAAAAAGGCTGGATTCCGCAACTGCATCAACTGGTGCCCCTGACCTAGACCTGACTAAGCTGTGGCAACCGAAATGAAAAGCTTATAAAGTTAGTATTAAACTCAATCCGCTCAGAATGCAATTTGGCAAGACCACCTGACTATAGAGGTTGCATTGATTAATCCCTCATGAATCCTCATACAGTGTGTCAGCTCTGGTGTGAAGTACAAATGTCTGTTTTCCCAGTAGCTGTAGTTTATAACACTTCCCTATGTGTCAAAAGCAGTAAAGTCTAACAGTTTAATTGGACCTGTAGCCTACGTCAATGCTTTTACCAGACTCTTCTAAGCAAATAGGCATTTTGAGACATCGCTGCCACTGATTACTCAACTGGAGCATTACAAAAACGTTACACTAGGCTTTCAAGTGAAAACCATAAACAGTTTAAGCAAAGCAGGCTGTGATGACAACGTAGTAATTTACAGATTTTCGCTTACTTAAGGGATGTCAATGCCATTAATCACTAAGTATTGCGTTGTTATAGCAATAAGATGTGTGAGTGCAATGTGTTTTCTGGAAAGGTCTAGGCTACACAATACTGTAGTGTAAAATTATTAAAGGTGTGTAAATTTCCCATTTAAAAGTATCTACTAGTACAGGGATCGGCAAACTACGGCCCGGGGGTCATATGCGTCATAGAATAATAATAATAATTTTCAGTGTTTTAAAAGTAATTTCTATAAAGAGTAAATACCGTGGAACTTTTATTGTAATGCTTTGTAATGATTTTCAGTTATGAGATATTTCAGTGTTCTCTAATGAGGTGGATTACCAAAAAACTCCATCCATCTGCTCCTGGTCTGGCCCTTCCATCAAATTTTAGAAGAGTCAAAAAGTTTGCCCACCCCCGTACTAGTATCTAATATGTCTTTCATATAAAGTAAACAGGGAATACTACAACTTGGGGAAAAGAATTCTTGGAAAATCTGTTGCTAGTACTTTTGCCTGAGACAAACAAATATACATAGGACAGAAATGTAGACAGAAAGAAACAAAAACAGTTACAGTACAATATTTATTTTTTATACATAGTGTTTAATTTCAGCCTTAAAAAGTTGCATTTGCTGTTATAGTTATTAAAAGAATTCATGAAACCAATATATCAGAAAGCTGAAAGATAAGGCAGTCGAATCAAAATCCAGTTTATTCTTTGTATAACACTCACCGTCTGATTTTCTAAATATTTAGAAGCTACTTCAAACTACTGTATTTTAGGACTCCTCATACTATCTAATTTTCCCTGAATTACATGGTTATTAAGTCAAGGTGGGTGCTTACCACTTGCACCTCCTCAGCGGCTATCTTCCACATCAGCATGTCCTTTTCATTGCGTAAACATTGGGATTATATAAACCTGCCTGGCCAGACCTTGGAGTTGTGGGCATCATTCTCTCTCCCTCTTTTCCTCTCATTCTCTCTCTCTCTCTCTCTCTCCCTCTCTTTTTTTTTTTTTTTTATTTCTGACGCCTTCTATATCCTGACACATCCCTGTTTAGGCGAGAATAGCTGATCTCTCTATCTTTCAGGCTGCAGGGTCCTCTGATTACAATAAGCTAACTCCTACACCCTGCTCCCAGCGCACTGCCTCCGGTTGCTATGGATGACCAACGCATTGAATCAAAGGTACCCCCCAAACACCCACACAATAGTATATGATGATGCACTCTTCTGGATACTTGACTGTGCCTTGGGTTTTTGGGCGCTTCTAGTATATGGCCTGTGATTGGCAGATATGTACAACCAGCAGAGAGACTTCCTGTTGGGTAATCAAGTAGTAACTATGTTATTACAGTTTCACAAAATATACAGTGTCACTTTTTGGTTTAGGTGTGGATGCTCAAACATGATATTTCAGGTAATTATCAAGTATAAACAATGCTTGAGCGGTCTCTTCCAGTAGTCTAAACACTATTGAAAGGAAACACAGAGAAATCTACTCATCATATCTTTTCATATCTTGAAATAGGCCTGAAATTACATAATCATTTTACTAGCAATGTATTTTGAGAGTGGTTTAAATTTCTGTGTATAGAGCTATTTATGATATTACCAGTACACTATAGAAAACAATTCCAAATACATCGTATATGGTTGGCAGTAGCTCAGTGTTTATGAACTGATCCTAAAGTTGGCAGTTTGAACCCTGCTATCGATATAAACATCATTGTTCGAGGAAAGTCTGCAAATATGAGACAAATATTTATCATTGTATATATAAATATAAGCTATGACGCAATTTACATTCAAAGTTTATTACAAGATGTTCTTCCAAAGCTCCTTGATCCTTAGATTGCAAGAGTGTGCTCATTCTGCTACCAAGTAAAGGCAAAGTAAACATACAATAGGCAAAAATATTTACTCAAGAACTCGTTTGCATTTTTCCAAAACATATTTGTTTTGTTTAAGTGACTCCACAGAATTTTGCCATCCCTTTAGAAATGTTAGTTCCATGATAAAATTTCATGTTCCTACATACCTACTAGGGTTGTTGAAAGGAAGTATCGAAAGTCAGATAAGAATCAATACTGAAACTAGTATCGGAACTACATACTCATTTTAGCAGGTCTCCAGTCATTTTCAAAGAACAGAAATTAACCTTTCCTGAAGAGCTATAGTTGTATCAGAAGAGTAAGTCTATGTCTAAGTGGAGACATGGACTGTAGTACACACACATGGACCACTATAGAACATACCTGACTGGGGTTGACTGAGGGATTACAGAGATACATGAGAAGTAGAAGAGAAAGAAGTACATGAGAAAGAAAATACAAGTACAGTCCATTTCATGTTAAAAATCTCTGTTGTCTAAAGAAAGAAAAGGAAGTTTTTATTATCATCATGTTATTGTACTGAGTATTAAAACTGATCTTGAAATATTTCTATTGTCAAAACACTAGTACCTACAATGTAGAATATTTATAAACCATATTTCTTCCCAACTTTGTATTTAAGGAATAATAAAATGACTCATACAAATGACACATTGTTTACCCCTATTCCCCTGAAATGTCTATTGTATGTATGTGAAATGAACTTGAACAAAACAAATGATGTCAGCAGTACCCCCAGCAGCGGTACTGTGGAGTGGTGTGCCTGCTTTGGGTGAGGGTGGGTGGGACCACGGTATGACAGCTGCGTGAGATCATTACAGTCTGGGACACGGGGGGGAAGGGATAAAAGAGGTGAGATATTCGGGGGAGGGGCAGACGGGCCTGGTATAATGGGTATTGGGGCAGTGGGTCTTTTTGGGAAGGAGAGAGAGGAGGGGTTTCTGGGGGGTCTACATTCCAGCATTCCTTTCTTGGAAGAATAGACATTTTTTGTGTATTATAAGTTTCACTTCAGTTCCAATGACCTTCTAAATAGTTGTGAAGATTTTTGGTTTTGGGTACAATGTAGTTGACATAGTAGTAGGAGTAGAAAGTAGGAGCGATGTACACAAACAAGTAGGTGGGGTGTAGGAGGGCGATAAAGAGGCGACTGGTGACTCACGTTCTTCCAGTAAGAGCGCCGACGCAGCTACTGGAAGCCCCCTGACCCAGTCTGTCTGTGTTTTTCAGCTTTATTCTCAAACAGGATGTCCCACGAGTCAAATAAGGAAAATTAAATGCATGCTAGAGTCATTTGTCTCTCTCTTGGTTTTGTTGTTTGATAGCAGAATGCAGTTGAAATGGACAAAAGCTTAAGACCCCAATGTATCAACTTGTTAGACCTAATATAAATGTTCTAGTAAATAAAAAGTATTTGTAACATTGTAAAAAGGGAGCGGATTGCTCTGTTTGGGTCAGAAGTGGTAAACTTCCAGAAAGAGGTCAGTAATGTCCCCAAAAATGTCCCATAACAAGAACACCAGGTCCTGTGTTA